TCGCTGTGTGGCTCCCTGTGCCGTTGGGAACTGCTTCTGCATCGGCCACATGCACATCCACAGCGCCAAGGCCCCTGCACACACTGACCTCAGGACCTTTATACACACCTGATTCCGTCCTCTTCAGCTGCCATGCAGATGTGGCCCACTGTCTCATCCTCGGTCCCTGCCTTGGCCCCAGGGTTCTAACAAGTACAGGTATTTACTATGCACTCAGGAGCAGACCTGACAGTGTCCCCTTGTTTGACTCCTGGTGATGGCTGGGGAATTGGACCCCCCCTGCCTTTGCACCTCTGCTAATGCCATCCTAGTCCGAAGGCTACAGAGAGCAGGGTGGGTCTCTCAGACCCCAGCAGCCTGGGCCCCGCCTTCTCTCATCTTATTTATTTGGGAGAACAGATTTAACCTCTATTTCTTTTCTGTAAGTGCAAGCCAAGAGTGGCCATGCATGCCTGTGAGCCCAGCAACTGGGGAGGCTGAGGCAGGAGGATCATAAATTATAGCCATGCCTGGACAACTTGGTGAGACCCTGCCTCAAAATAAAAATTAAAAAAGGGCTGGGGGTGTAGCTCCCCTGTGTTCAATCCCCAGTACTGAAAGACAGAGACAGACAAGACAGGAACAAAGGGCAAAGAGGGGGTCTGAAGGTGAGGCGGGGATCCCAGGCTCCCAGGAGACAGAAGGCAGAGGCTGCAGGGTGTGAAGCCAGTGCTGTGGGCAGTAGGCCTGCAGGCTTCACAGAGGTGGGGACCTGCAGCTGGCATCTGGGCAGCTGGGGGTCAGGGAGATGTGAGCCAGGGTCAGGGTGGGAATGGCCGTGGCCTCGGGGTGCAGGGAGGGGGCGGGGACAGGCGGCCCATCCCACATGCGGGGTTCAGAGCTGCAGGAGCCGTGGGCAGTGGAACAGCCCAGCCCCCGGCTGTCCCGGGCACAGACGGAGCGTGGGAGGCACAGGGTGCAGGGGCGGAGGCTGCTGCCACAGCCTGGCCCGGATCCGGGAGCTTCTGGGTGGGCTGTGGGCTCTCCTGGCTGAGGGCTCTGCCTCCCGGGGGGGGGGGCAAGTGGGGAAACTGAGGTTCTGGCCAAGGCCGGGGGTTGTGCCTGGGCTGCACAGGTACAGGTAGATGCCTTGTTTCCTTACTCACTGAGATTTTGCTTGGGGACTGCAGGGTGAGCTGATCACATCCCTCCCTCTCGGGAGCCAGAGTCCCCCATGGCTCTCTTGAACACTGGACAAACTATGCATGTGGCAGTGGCCACAGGCCCCCGCCGCAGAACACTGCCTTCTGCCTTTCCCACTCTGCCCTTCCCAAGTTCCTCCAGTAGGTCCAACCTGTCCCAACCTCAGGACTTTTGCACCTGCCATCCCCATTGCCCAGGGCACCCTCAGGAATAACGAGCCTGTTTCATGGCTCAGGATAGAGGACAAATGGGACCCAGAGTCCCTATTCCCTTGGGCCCCAGTATCTGGGTCCCTCCTGATGGCTCCACACACAGGGTCCCCCAGCAAGCTGCTGGGTCACAGGATTCTCACCCAGATGTAGTCAAACCCCCCATTTCATCATCCCCAGTGGTGTGGCACACACCTGTGATCTCAGCACTCAGGAGGCTGAGGCAGGAGGATCCCTACAAGCTGGAGTCCAGCCTGGGCTACACAGTGAGACCCTGTCTCAAAAACATAAATAGAAAATAGACTTTCAGATCCATGGGGTCTCAGGCTTCTGTGCCTGGCTGGCTCGTGGCCTCCACAGAGTCACTGCTCAAGACCCTCCCTGGAGGCCCTGGACCCAGAGTCCCCAGTCCCCTGGGCCCCAGTACCTGGGTCCCTCCTGATGTGGCCGTGATTTCTCCGCCCCACTTTCTGACCTTGGTACAGTGAATATCGGAGCCCTCAAGAACGGAGGTTCCAAAAATACCTGGGCGACCTAGCTCCGGGAAATGGGCCGCCCCGCCCTACCACCTGGCACCCAGAGGTAATTAGCTCACTCTGAGAACTGGGCCAGTGTGGTCCGAGGGAACTCAGCTCCATCTGGCCAGGGGCTGCTGGCCCCCCAACCCCCTGAGCCTGGGCACACAAATCTGCAGATTAGCCAGACCCCGCTCCAGTCGCCTCCCCAGCCTGTTCCTTCCTAGGGCCCCAAAGTCAAGTAATCTGCTTGTGCCACATTCTAGTTCAAGCCAGATCACCTAGAGTGATACAAAATCAGTGGAACTGTTGAGTCACCAGGTTGTCTTTCCCTGGGCCCTCCTGTGACCCTCTGTGCCCTGAGATGCACTCAGGCTCTGGGAGCCAAAGATGGACACAGACACTCCTGGTCCTTTGACAAGAGGGCTAGAACAGAAGGAAAGGAGACAGGGAAGGTCCATGGGAGGAAAATAGGTACTTACGGAGAGGTGGGGATTACAGATGGGGTTCTGAGAGAGGAATAGGAGTTTTTCAAGAAGCTAAGATCTGGCAGCTGGTCCAACTACCTATGGCTAAAGGAAAGGGGAGCAGGAAGAAGGTAGGCAGAGGGGCACAAGCTAAAGATTGAGAATATCATGCCAGGTTGAAGCAATTTCTGGGAACTTATGGCTGACTTCAATCCTTGACAAAGAAAATCTTAAGAATTTGGCTCAGAAAGGCAGGTATCATGGCATAGGTCCATAATCCCAGCACTAGGAAGGCTGATAATACAGGAAGATCAACATAAATTTGAGGGCAGCCTATGCTACCTAGTGAGAGCCTGTCTATGAAAAGCAAAAACAAAAACAAGAAACAAAATAAAAAATGTGGTTGAAGAAACCAACCAGGCTGGAGCTCAGTGGCAGAGTGGTGAGTTCCATCTCCGGCTCTTTAGAAATGATTCAGGGTCAAAATCTACCTCACAAATTTATTATTATTATTGTTGTTGTTATTTTGTCACTCGCAGCACTGGGGACTGAACCCTGGACCCACACACCGAGCTACCTCTCAGCCCTTTTTGTCCTCTGAGATAGGATCTTGCTACGTCACCCAGTTTCCCAGGCTGGGTTTGCAATTTGCAATCCTCCTGCCTCAGCCTCCCAAAGTACTGGGATGACACGTGTGCACCCACACGCCTGCCTCACCTCTAATAAACATGACATTTGCAGCTTCAAGCATTTAGAGCAGGCATCTTCTGAGTGTGGGTGGGGAAACTGAGGCAATAAGCTGGAAAGTGGCTTCTTTGGGGTTGCAGTGAGGTAGGAAGTTCCCTGGCCGGCACAGCTCTGCCCTGCTGCACCTCTCCTGAATATCAAGCTCACTCCCGGACACCCCCGAGGAAAACTTGGGTCTCAGCCCTGGGGTTCCGTCTCTGAGGGAAAACGCCCCATGCCCCATGAATCAGCACCCCTGGGTGGACGGCCACCAGCTCACCAGCCTTCCCCCATGGTCAGCCCGGGGTCATCAGCACATTCTTGGAGCGGGTGAGGACACAGAGAAGGCTTCAGGTCCAGGGTGCTCCAGGTAAGCCCTAGGTGGGCTGGGGCCAAAGCCCATCATGCATCCACCCATCCACCCACACAGGAGTTGGCAGGGGTCCCGTGCCTGCTGCCCACACCCCAGGATGGCCACATGGCCCTGCTCCACCACCAGCCGGCACTGGGCCCAGGCAGGAGCCTGGCTGACACCTGTCCCACTTACTTCCTGTTCCTTTAATGACGCTAAGTGGAAAAAGTCACTCTGAAGGAACAGACGGTGTTTGCCTTGTCCTCTACGCTGCATCATTGCATGGCTTTGGGCCTGAGGAGGAAGCCAAGTGCTCACCCGTGCAGGAGCCAATGACACTGGGAATGGTGGGGAGGTTGAGGCCCGGACCCCACTGACGGACCAGCTGCCCTTAGGCCCGGGTGGCATCTGGGTGGAAGAGGGCGCCCCACCCCAGGCACAAGCAGAGAGCAGGGAGGGAAGTGTAGAGCCTGACACCAGGGAGTGGGTCCAAAGGACACACCTGTCATCCCGGTGTTTTTTGAGGCTGAGGCAGGAGGGTCCCCAGGAGTTCCAGGCCAGCCTGGGCTACCCTGTGAGACCTTGTCTCAACAAACAAACAAAACACCCCCCAGAAAACAAAGCCCTCCAGATCTCGAGGCCTGGAGTTCACTCAACTCAGGATCCTAGCAGGGAGGCCGCTGACTGCTCAGCCTGGCTTGTGGGGAGAGCAGAGAATCAGCGGCCCAGGTGCAGGCTGACTCTGGAGGTTCACCCACAGTGGGGGCCACCGGGCTGCCTCCTGGAATAACCTCGGGGAGGGGCCGCGGAGTCCCTGTGGGGTCCCCAGCCTGTGACCTCCGGGGCCTAGGGATCCTCTGCTCTGGCACTTTCCGGGCTTCCGCGTTAGCACTGGGTGCTGACCACCGTGGCTTCCGAGGAAGGGACAAGGTGGACAGTGTCCACCTGCCCTGAGAGGTCATCACTTTGTCCCCAGCCTGTGCGGGGTGGGGAGGACCTGACCCTCGCAGGGTCCCTGTCACCATTCCAGGCAAGGAGGGAGCGAGGGCGGGGTGGTGACCCTAGGGGTCAGGGCCGGGCCTGCCAGGGCGTGCGCGTGTCCAGCTGTGTGTGTCCATCTGCTTCCTGTGTGGCTGGGCTCCGGGTCGCTGTCATGGGACGTCACCCTGTGGCTCCTCCCCTCCCCCTCCCCTCCCCCCGCGGCCGGCCGGCAGGGGGCGCGTGGCGGCGCTCGGGCCGGGAGGCGGGGCGGCAGCGCGTCGGGACCGTCGCCGCGATGGGACCGGAGGCGGCAGCGGCAGCGGCGCAGACAAAGGCGCGGGGAGCCGCTGGGCCGCACGGAGCGCAGGGTGAGCGCGCGGGCAGGCGGGCGGGGCCGGGGACCCCAAAGTTCGGCGCTCGCCGCGGTAGGGCCCCGAGCCCCGGAGCGCGTGCTGGCCGCACGTTCCAGACCCGGAGGGGGTGAAGGTGCCGGGGGGAGGTCCCCGCGTTCCGGGCCGGGGTGCGGGGTGGCCGAGGGGGAAGCAGGTCCCCGAAGTTGCGGGTGGTTAAGGGAGTCGGGGCCGAGATCTCCAAAGTTCCGCGGGCGAAGGAAGGGGGTCCCCGGAGTTCCATGCTGGGGCGCGGAGGGGGAACCCCGATGTCCCGGGCGGCGGCGCGGGCTCCTGGAACTTGCCAAGTCTGGCGGCTCGCGCTGAAATTGGGGCGCGCGGAGCCCGCGGTCGAGGAGGGGGCGAAGCCCGCGTAGATCCCGGGCCCCTGGCTGGGACGCCGGGGAGGAGGCCTCGCCGCCGGCCCCGGCTCGGGCCCGAGGGGTCCTGGACATTCGGGGCGTCTTCTCCCAGCCCCACGCCCTCTCGGGCGCGTGACTCGCGGAGTCGGTAACTTTCCCGGCGCCGCCGCCATAGTCCCGGCAGGAGCGACTTGGCCAGAAGGACCTGGGTTCTGGGGATCCCCGCGTCCCCAACCCCAGCCAGGCCCAGGACCTTCCCTATCCCGGGCTCAGGCTCCAGACTCTGGGACCCGGACAACAGCTGCCCAGGACAAGGTGGGGACCCTCCAGCCCCATGCGGCCTGTCGGGAGCCCCCACCCCATTCTTCCAAGCCCTTCCTGGGTCTTTTGCGGGTACCCTGGGTGCAGTTGGGGACACAGAGGTCGCATCAGGAAGTGTAGAAGCAGCTTTGCTGGCATCTTGGGCTGGTGGCTTTGCAGCACCCCCGGCAGTAGGAGGTGGGGAACTAACTGTTTTCCTAATTTCCTGTTTTCCCGTGCTTGCCGCGGCCACCCTTGATGGACCGGCAGCTGCATCACCTCTCTTTATTTATTTGTTTAGAGACAGGGTCTCACTCTGCAGTTCGGTGCACTTCGTAGCCCAGGCTGATCTCAAACTCACAGCGATCCTCCTGCCTCAGCCTCCCTGAGTGTTGGGATGACAGGCGTGTGCCATCACACCCCACCTGCATTACCTCTCTTTAATCTTTTGGTTTAATTTTTTGAACTGGGATCTCTGTCCACAGCTAGACTTGAACTCCAGGGCTCAATCGATCATCGTGCCTCGACGTCCCCAGGGATTGCTTGTGTTTTTTTTTTTTTTTTTTTTTTTTTTTTTTTTTTTTTTGGTACAGGGAATCGAACTCAAGACCTCGAGCTTGCCAGGCGAACCTTTAAGCCCCTGAGCTAAATCCCTGACCCAATCACTTGTCTTTTTAGGTGGGCTGGGGGTTTGCCTGAGGGTTTGGATTGTAATTCCAAGGTGCAGTTCTGCCCAAGGGTGGGTGCTCAGGGGTCTCTGTGGGTACAGTGAGTGGGCGCTGGTCTCCTCGCAGGCATTTGGCAATGCCAGGCTTTTATTATGATGATGATGATGATGATGTTGATGATGTTGGTTTTCTGGGGCTAGGGATGCACAGGGTGGTTAAGGGGGGCACACCCAGCCCTATGTAGCCCAGTTCTAGTGTGAGGCTCCAGTGGCTCCACTTGGGAGTGCAATGGGGGCTCCCTCCAGTCAGAGAAGGATGGGGTCACCTTGCTGAGTGACTTACACTGATTGTCTTTCTGACTGAAGCCCTGGGGACAGTGCAGCTGGCTGGATGGGACCTGCCTGGCCCCTCAGCCCAGCCTGGGGACACACTCACAGAGACACTCTCTCCCCAGGGCCCACACTGGCCACTCTCGTCACCCTCGGGTCCCCCTGGGAGCCTGTCCAGCCTGGGCTGATCAATGTCCACAGCCAGGTGAGCTCTCAGTGGGTCTTTCCCCACATGGTGCCTCCTTGTATCCCGGGATAGGGGTGGTTTCCCCTGACATCCTGTCCCCGCAGGGAGCAGCCGATCTTCAGCACTCGGGCACACGTGTTCCAGATCGATCCAGCCACCAAGAGGAACTGGATCCCTGCAGGCAAGCACGCACTCACCGTCTCCTACTTCTACGATGCCACCCGCAACGTCTACCGCATCATCAGCATTGGGGGCACCAAGGTCAGGCCAGGTCTGGGGTGGGGGGCCCTGGTGACCAAGGAACCTCGAGTGTTAATATGCTCCTCAAGTGACCGTAGCAGGGGCCCCTGAGGCCCTAATGCAAGGCCCTGTTCTGTCACCGGGAACGTGTTCAGCACACTTGGGGCTGCTGACCTTGAATTTTGCCCTCTCCCTCAGGCCATCATCAACAGTACTGTCACTCCCAACATGACCTTCACCAAAACCTCACAGAAGTTCGGGCAGTGGGCGGACAGCCGTGCCAACACAGTCTACGGCCTAGGTTTTGCTTCTGAGCAACATCTGACCCAGGTGGGGCCTGGAAGGGAGGGGGTGGGGCTGGGACCCGGATGGGCATGGGACTTGGATGAGCCAGGAGCCCTTGCTACTCTGCTTCTGTCAGCCACTTGGGTTTCTGTCACCCCCACTCCCCACCGTCTGCTGCCTACTTCCATATGGCCTGAGCCTGTAAGGGGTGGCACACGCCTGTTAATCCTGGTGCTTCAGCAGGCTGAGGCAGGAGGATCAAGGCCACTTTGGGCAGCTTAACAAGACGTTGTCTCCAAATAAAATGTATATAAAGAGCTGGTTAGGGAAGCATTTCAGTTGTGAACACTTGCCTTGTATGTGTGTGTGTCTGTTCCTGTCCCTGGGTTCCATCTCCAGGAGGGGAGGGGAGTCTGTATCCATTGTTTCTTTGGATGATTCGTGCTTCCATTCTGCAAAGATTTTGTCCTCCGTTTAACTCTAGAAGTTTTATAATTTTCCTTTCAACGCTAGATCTTGAATTAATTTCTGTGGGTGGTACAAGGTAGGATTTGAGGTTTTTTTGTTTGTTTGTTTAAGCACAGCATGAGTACTGAGTTGTTTGGGGGCTGTTTTTGTTTGTTTGCTTGTTTTGTGGCGCTGGGGATTGAACCAATTTTTTTTTTTTTTTTTTTTTGTGGTACTACCGGGGAACAAACTCACGACCTCATGCTTGCCAGGCAGGTGGTTATGCCACTGAGCTAAATCCCCAGCCCCCCATGGGGTTGTTTTAAAAAGATTGTTTTCCTGCAGTGATTTACCTTGCCTTTGTGTGAATCAAGTGGTATATGCCTGTTAAGATTTTGTTTTTGGTTTTGTTGTTCTTTTTGTGGTACTAGGGATTGAAGCCAAAGCTTTTGCACCGACCTACACTTCAAGCCTCCCTTTTAAAATTTTTTTATTTGAGACAGAGTCTCACCAACTTGCTCAGGCTATAGTGGAACTTGGGACTCTCCTGTCTCAGCCTCCCAGAGTGCTGGAGTTATGGGTGTGCACCACTAGGCCCTGGCTGTGCCTCTTTGTATTTAAGGCCACCTCTGTGACTGTCCCAGCTGCCTAAAGGACACCTGTACTCATGCTGCCCGTGGGACATCCTTGTCTAAACCTTTTCCCCCTTCTGGTTTCTGACTTCCAAGAATGTACATTGTTCCCAGAGTCCCTTCCGAGCTAACATGGCAGGGTCTGGGCCAAGGACTGGTGGAGGCTGAGAGGGGGCTACAGGGTTTGTTGACTGCTTGCTGCCCTCTGTACATGCAGTTTGCTGAGAAGTTCCAGGAGGTCAAAGAGGCAGCTCGGTTGGCCCGGGAGAAATCTCAGGATGGAGGGGAGTTTACCAGCCCGGCCCTGGGACTCCTGTCCCACCAGGTCAGCACCCTGATGTCGGGGACACCGGGCTGATGTCGGGACTGACAGGTGGCTGAAATGACAGCCTTGAGGGACGCCCTCCAGCCCCAACCTACCGGAGTTACGACCCTGGTGAGCTCCGCCCAGACCGCGTGGGGACCTTCTAAGGTGTGCCCCCACGGGATGCTGCTCCCATCCACAGGTGCCCCCGAGCCCGCTGGTCAGCGCCAACGGCCCTGGCGAGGAGAAGCTGTTCCGCAGCCAGAGCGCCGACGCCCCTGGCCCCACGGAGCGCGAGCGGCTCAAGAAGATGCTGTCCGAGGGGTGAGGGGCGCCCAGCCTCTGCGCTGACTCTGGTCTGCCTCTAGCAGGGGTGGCCCCGCCCACCACAGTATTGCCCCGCCCCTTCCTCAACCCGACCGCTCCAGCCCAGGCACCACCTAGCTTCGCGCTGCCCCGCCCACAGCACGACATGGGCCCGCCCCCGGCGCTGCCCCACCCACAGTACGACATAGCCTACCCTCCAGCGTTGTCCCGCCTACAGAAGGCATGGGCCCGCCCCCCGGCGCTGCCCCGCCCACATCACGGGTTAGCCCCCGCCCTCTCCGCGTTGCCCCGCCCCCACTATTTCTGCACCTGAAGGCGGGGTGTTTGGCCTTCCCCTAGCTCGGTGGGCGAAGTGCAGTGGGAGGCGGAGTTCTTCGCACTGCAGGACAGCAACAATAAACTGGCGGACGCTCTGCGTGAGGCCAACGCTGCAGCCACCCAGTGGAGGCATCAGGTGGAGGCCCAGCGTGCGGAGGCTGAGAGGCTGCGGCAGCGGGTGAGGGCGCTCTTCACAGACCTCTGGCAGTGGTGCCCATGGAGCTGGGGCTGTGCAGCCCCACCTTCCTCTCGGTCGGGTCCCTTCCCGAACTCTGGGATCCCTTATGAGGGTTATCGTGCTCTGATGCTCTAGCCAGCTGCTGTGCACGCTTCACATCCCACCCCTCTGGGAGGCTGGGCAGGAGGATCACAAGTTTGAGCCCAATCTGGGAACCTGGAAACCCTTATTGGGGGGGAGGGGGAAGCTGGAGTTACTGGTCAGTGGAGAAAAATTACTTTGAGCTGCCCCATAACGGAGTGAGGGCGCGGTGTGGGCCGCGTGCCTGCGGGCTGGATTGGGCTGAGCGTCCTGTGGGTGCAGGTGGCAGAGCTAGAAGCACAGGTGGCTGCAGAGCCGGCCGTGGAAGAGGCGCCTGGTCAGTCGCTGGAGAAGCTGGAGGCGCTGGTGAGGACCAAGGACCAGGTGAGCCGGGTGTGGCCGGATTCTGCCTGCCCTTGCCACAGGACCACACGGGACCCCCCCAAGCAACTCTTCTGCCATAGGAGATCCAGACGCTGAAGAATCAAACTGGGGGACCCCGAGAGGCCTCAGACGCTGCGGAACGTGAGGAGACTGAGCAGAAGGTGCAGGTGGGTGTGGGCAGAGGGTATGAGATAGGAGAGGGGACCTGCCACCCCACCCTTTTGCCATCATTGTAAGTGGTATCAGAGCTGAGCCAGCCCGATATTCTGGGAGGCTGAGGCAGAAGGTTGGAAATATTGGCTGATCCTCCTGCCTGATCCTCTTGTGTGCTGGGATTACAAGTGTAGGTCAATACACGTGCCTGGCTGTCTTTTTATTTGAGGAATTAGCAAAACTATGCACTGGGGCTGGGTGTGGGGGTGTACACCTGTGATCCCAGCACATGTGCAAAGTCCCTGGGGTGGGAGGAAACCAGGGTTTAAGAAGCTGCAGGGAGGGGGCTGGGGATTTAGCTCAGCGGCATAAGCGCCTGCCTTGCAAGCGGGCAGTCGTGAGTTTGATCCCTGGTATCGATAAAAAAACGAAAAAGACCCCCCCCCCCAAAAAAAAAAAAGAAGCTGCAGGAAGGCTGGGTGAGCAAGGGGGCTGCTGCAGCAGTGAGCAGAGGCTGGGGCTGTGTGGATGGCACTTGGGCACCAATGACCCTGAACCTGTGCCCGTCCCTTCCTCCCCAGGACCTGGAGGCCCGCAATGCAGAGCTGGAGCAACAGCTACAGGCAACAGAGCGCAGCTTGGAGGAGGCACGGCTGGAGCGGGAGCGGGCGAGGGCCGAAGTGGGTAGGGCAGCACAGCTGCTGGACGTGCGGCTCTTCGAGCTCAGTGAGCTTAGGGAAGGCCTGGCCAGGCTGGCCGAGGCTACACCCTGAGCCAGTGCCTGGGTCCCACGGGCCCTCAGGGCTGGTCCTGCAGGAGTTGGCCCTGCCGGGCATATATGCCAGGCTGAGGTAGTGGAGCTGGGCTCCAGTTTCACTGTGTAGACTCTAGGATCCTGGGGCACACACTGCGCCCACATTACATTTCTCAAGTCTGACTGTGTGTGTAGCGTGGGCACTGGAACCCTGCTGCCCCTGCGCCTGCCTCTGTGCTTCTGAGACACCATCTCACTGTGTAGTCCAGGCTGGCCTGGAACTCATGGAGATCCACCCGCCTCAGCCTCCCCAGTGGACCCTGTTCAGAGACTTCCTCAGCCTGATGTGAAGCCCAGGCTGTGGGTGTGCAGGGAAGCACCTAGAGTATAGCTGTGCTCACTGGTAGGGGTAAGGGCATTGCCACTGCCGCCTTCTAGCTGGCTTGGAGAACACAGTGGCTGCTGAGCTGTGTTCTGAGCAGGGAAACAGGCCCAGAGGAAAGGCTGTGCCCCAACGCCCAGTGGCTAGAGTGGCTGGCACTGCCATTCAGGCCAGTGGTATCTGTGAAGTTTCAGGCTTGTGATGGAGAGGGGGAGGGGTGTGTGCTAAAAATCACAGCCACAGCCAGCAGGTGGACAGACCCTTTATTAAGCAGCCTTGCCCAGGCAGTCTTCCTGGGCCCACACCATGCTCAGGGCCTGCTGTCCTTTGCACCTCCAACCAGTGTGTCTGTCCACAGTCCTGCCGAGGTGGGGTGCCATCTGCAGGGTGCCATGGGCACTCAGGCTGGGCCTGGGGCCGCCTTTGGAGTCTGGGGCAGCTGCCTGCCACGACCCGCCCTGCCGGCCTTCTGCTGCCGCTGCAGGGCCTGCCCCACCTTCTCCTTGAAGCGCCGGTTTTTCTGCTTGATCTTAGCCAGCTCTGCCCTTCTCTTGGCCTCCAGGTCGGGGTCCTGAGAGGCACGCAGGGTGCTGAGCGGGTGTCCGGGCCCAGGACCACACTGCCCACCCTGGCTGGCCCCACACTCACCCTCCCCTCCAGGATGAGCTGCTTCCGCTTGTTGATTTCCTTCTTCTCATCGAAGTGGGCGGCCTCCAATTTCTAGGATATGGGGGTGAGCTGTCACAGAAGGGTCCCCAGGGCCCGGGGGGAACATGCCGCCCTTGCACCCCCACACGGGTGCCCCTGCAGACACTCACAATCTCGCATTCCCTGCGGACCACGTTGACTTGCGTGAGGATCTGCAGCACCTCGGCTTCCTCCACTGGCAGCTCCTCCAGCTGCTTCTCTGGGGAGGGGGGCACATGGCAGAGACAGGCTCAGCTTTGTCCTGAGCTCCCGGAGAGAGGGGGTGCAGGGCTGGGGGTACCAACTGCTGGCCTTCTAGGTTTTGTCAGTACTGGGGATGGAACGGCCTTCAGGCTGTGCCCCATCCCCACCACTTTGTATGTTAGGACATGGTGTTGGTGAGTTGTCTGGGTCAAGTATGAGTTTGCAATCCTCCTGCCTCAGCCTCCCCAGTGCTGGGATCACAGGTGTGCACCCCCACACCCAGCCCCAGTGCATAGTTTTGCTAATTCCTCAAATAAAAAGACAGCCAGGCACGTGTATTGACCTACACTTGTAATCCCAGCACACAAGAGGATTAGGCAGGAGGATCACCCTGAGTTCAGCTTTATTACCTTGGGCTACATAGTGGGACCCTGCCTGAAAAAACAACCAACCTGCCCTGCGTATTGGGCTGAGAACCTGCCTGGGCTCTGTCTTGGGTTCTGCGTCTATGACTAAACCAGACACTGGCTGAAAATACTCAAAAAGAGCCCAACTGCACCCCTGTTGGACATAAAGGCTTCTCCTCTGGGAGCCACACCCCAGGTACCTCTGCCCTCGGCCATCTTCCCCCAGATGGCATCACAGCCAGCTTGCTGCATCGCACCGCCCCTGCCCTATCGCCAAGTCCTGATTGCAGAGTGACTGAGCCTATGGGCGGATGTGCCTGACACCTTCGAGACCACCACAATACTTCACAGGAAGAATTCCTGTTGCCAGACTTCAGTGTTCATGGGGGCATCTTGGAACACATTCCCTGAGGAACCCAGGGGCCAATTATTTGTTTCTTGGCACTGATGTTTTTAAAGCGAAAGCCAGGCACAGTGGTGTGGGTCTGCAGTCTCTGTTACTGGGGACGCTGAGGCAAAGGATTGCTTGAGCCTTGAAGTTAGAGGCCGACCGGAAGACACCACAAGATCCCTTCTTCCCAAGAAATAAACCAAGAAGCAGTGGTGCTTTCTGACATAGGCCATCTGCAGGGGCTAGTGTGTGGCTACCCTGCCCCAGTGGCTGCTGGCATGCAGTGGTCCTGGGCCTGCATGGGAGACATGGTCTCTGTGGGGAGCTCTGCTTTCCTAACTGGGCTCCGGGTGGCCCACGCTGACTGTACACTTACTGATCTGCTCCTCAATGGCGTGCACCAGGTGGATGTCGTACTGGGTCACCAGTGTGATGGCCTGGCCCTGTCGCCCTGAGGGGACATGAGGTCACATGGTGATTATGGGGCCTGGAGCTATGTGGAGGAAGGACCTGTAACAGGACAGTGGCTCTGTGCCCAGGGGGCTGTGGGGCCTGGTGTGGGATAGCTGTACCCACAGGTGTATGTGAGAAAGACAGAGATGGGGCTGCTTTCTCTTTACGGCTTGGCAGCCAGGGAGCACAGGCTAAGTGACATCAGACAGGAGCCAAGAGGCCTCGGCCTGGATCTCTACACCCATTTCTCTGCCCTGCACTTCTAGGACAGTCGCCAAGCCTATCACCCATCATGAGACGAGGCTTGGGATGGGGGCATGTGGCCGACCCATGACCCCAGCGTCAGGATGGAAGGCTGGGTTTGGCCTTTGGTGTTTTGAGGATACTGGGGTAGAACCCAGGACCTGTCTGCTAGGTGAGCATGCACCAACTCCCCTCTGCTCCTGAAGGAGTCCACTAACCCCCACTGGCCAGGGCGCCTGGTGTCATGGGCTGCATCCCACCCTAGCACCCCTGGACCCACACGGGCTCACCTGCTCGGGCAGTGCGGCCGACACGGTGGATGTAGATCTTAGGGAGCCCGGGGGTATTGTGGTTGATGACCACCTGCACCGTGGGTATGTCCAGGCCCCTGTAGGCAGAGACTGCTCAGTGGGGAAACTAGGCTGTGGCTCCCCGGGGTTGACTTGGCAGTGGCACAGGGGCTGCCTGACCAGTGCCACTCACCGAGAAGCTACATCTGTTGCAATCAGGATCCGGTAGATGCTGGACTTGAATTTGGCTAGGGCTGAGAAGCGTTCTTTCTGTGGGACCGAGAAGGCATCAGGGTCAGAGTGGTGGTGTCCTCAGGCCTTGTGTGTGTGTGGGGGGATCCAGGATCACAGGCTGTGCCCTGGAAGGGCATTCTTGTCCCCACTCCTCTCTTCTCCCCATTTCCTGGCCACCTGGGGATGGCTGCCCATAGACTGAGTCCTTTAAGTTGTGAGCCAAAATAAACCCCTCTTCCTCTACATTGTGGATGTTGGGTGTTTTGTCCTATCGCTGGAAAAGTAACCACCAAACCCGGGACAGTCCCCACCTTCCTGGTTTAAGCTTCACTAGGCTTCACTAGCTTCCTAGTGAAGCTGGGCCTGGAACCAGCCTGGACACTGCAGGACGGGAGACACACAGGGAGAAGGCTGTGCCCAGCAGGGATGCTGGAGACAAAAAGGACCCCTGCTGTGATCCCAGCACTCTTCGAGGCTGAGGCGGGAGGATCATACCTTCCAGCCCAGCCCGAGAGCCTGTCTCAAAGAACCAAAAGACCAAACCAAACCAGACAGGCCCAGACAGATGCAGGGGTCTGTACCAAGGCTCTAGGCCAGGAGCACCCGGGCGGCCCTCACCTGCTTCATCATGGAGTGTAGTGCCACAGTGGGGAAGTTGAACTTGCGTAACATCATACACAGGATCTGGCAGGTTCTAGAGGGACAGAGGTGATTGCTGACCTGTCCCTGCCACACCAAGCACAATGGCCCTGTGCAGCTTAGAAATGAGAAGGAGTACAGAACGCAGGAGCGTATGCCTCTAATCCCAGCATTCAGGAAGCTGAGGTGGAAACATCCTTGCGTGAGCCCAGCCTGAACTACATGATGATACACTGCCCCCAAAAATCCATACCAACGGCACCTGCCTGGCAAGCGCAAGGTCCTGAGTTTGACACCTGGCACCAAAAAGAACCCCACACCAAAACACAAGCAACAACACCAAAAATCCCAAATGAAAACCATGAGAAACTGCGTGGGGCTCTGGGAGCTCTGCTGTCCCCTCCCCAGACCTGAGGGACATAAGCCTCAGTCCTGGGGGTAGCGCCCTTGCTGAGCACGCACGTGGCCCAAGTTCCCCCTAGCACGCAGAATTCCCACATAAAACTGGTACCGGGCCAGGGTGGGTCCCAGTAGTAAGAGCTGTGCCCAGCATGCACGCAGTCCTGGGGTTCAATCCTCAGCATACCCCAGACCCCCCAGACTCCACCAAAAGCATACGCCTGAAAGCTGCTGGAGCCTGCCAGGCCGGAAGCCATCCTGCACCCAAGCTCTTCTCTCCTAGGAGCCTGGCTTCCTCTCTTCTACCTGACAGTCACCCTCCATGGCCGGAGCAGGGGGGCTGTGCGGGCCACCCTTGTGGTCTCTGCATGTGGCAGAGGCACAAAGGGTAGCCCATAGTGCATCATCACTACGCCCTGGAGGCCTAAGCAAGCCCAAGGGCACCCAAGTGGCGGCGTCACTCTGTGCTCACTTGCAAGTGTTGGTGAAGATGATGATGGACCAGTCCTCATGCTTGTCCTGGAAGCTCTGCACCAAATGCACCAGGTAGGCGTCTTTGACCTTCTCAGGGACCAGCAGATAGCGCTGGTCCAGCTGCTCCACAGTGCGGACACTGAGGAAGTTGGGGCAAGCCTCAGTTTCCCCTCTAATCACCAGAAGCCCCTAGCGTGCCCTGGCCCACTATGCTGTTGCCCAGGGACTCACGGGGCCTGCGCCTCCCAGAAGAAAGGCTGGTTGGTGGCCAGACCCTGCAGTTCCCGGAGCGTGTCTGTGAGCGTGGCACTGAAGAGCAGTGTCTGCCTCTGTGCGGGCACGGCTGCCAGGATAGTTTCCAGGTCTGCCGTGAAGTCGGTGCAGCCCTGCTCCAGTAGCCGGTCTGCCTCATCCATCACCTGAGGCGGGTGGGGGGTAGGGGTGGTAGAGCTGGGAGGCCAGAGCAAGGAGGCTCAAGGGTTGGGTTGGTCCCTGAACTGGCCTTGTTACTACTTCTAGCTCCTCCCTGGACAAACTGGGGGACCCATGGTTCCTGAATGAATGACGGGGTGCCCCAGGCCCCACCCCATGCCTCATGGCCGCTGACTGACCAGGAAACGGATCTTCTTGATGTGGAAAGTGTTTGAGCTTCGGAGGTGGTCAGCCAGGCGCCCCGGTGTGGCGATTACCACATGCGGTTTCCGGGAGAGCTCCAGGGCCTGGGCCACCATATCTGGGGTGAAGGGTGGGCGGAAAGTAGCTTGGCTGGGGTTGCTGAAGTCATGGGAGTCCCATGCCCAGGGCCTACCCTGGTCCCCAGCCCCTAGCCATACCCATGCCACCGACGATGATACAGTCTTTGAGGCCCAGCGGCTTCCCCAGCACCCGGAATTGCTCTGCGATCTGGTAAGCCAGCTCCCTGTGGGCGGGAGCAGGGTGCCAGTGCTGCGCCTGCTTGCTTCTGTCAGCTCCATCCCAGGGCTCCTTCCTGAGCCCCAGCTTCTCTTGTGTGCACCCTCAGGGTCAGAGCTAACCCTCCACCTGGCATCGAGGCCCTGCACAAGTCAGCAGCACTGTGCCAGGTCCTGGAGACCTCTGTGCTCCATGCCTTTCTGATGCTTTGATGCAGGTCCCTCTGCCTGGTTGTCTGGCCAGCATGCACCCTGACTGCTTTCCACTTATGCCACCTTGTTCAATTCTGCAGCGCCCCAAAGCGGCAGGGCCTGATTTTCCTTTCATGGGGAAAGTGTGGTTCAAAGAGCTCAAAGTGTTGGCCTGCGAGAACACAGGTTAACCCATTCCTGGGGGACAGTGCGAGGCTTACCTGGTGGGGGTTAGGACCAGGCAGAAGATACCATAGGGATCCTCTGACAACTTCTGCAAGATGGGCAGGACAAAAGCTGCCGTCTTGCCACTGCCTGTCTTGGCACAGCCCAAGCAATCCCGACCTGCACAGTGGGCAAAGCCATGTCAACACATGCCAGGCACAGACAGCTGGTCCCCTGAACACGATGTCCCATGCTGATGATCAATTGATTGATTGATGCTGGCGATCCAGCCAGCACTTCGTGTTCGGAGCTCTGCCACTAAGCCCCAGCCCACGACAGCTGCTCGGTACCCAGCCCCGTACAATGCCTTTCCTGTTCTGTTATTGATAGCTTTCCACTGGGGGCAACTCACAAATTCTAGTGAGGAGAGAGAGGCTGTTATCGTCCCCATTGATAAAAGGGGAAACCGAGGCTCAAAGGCTCGCCCAAGACACGCAACTGATGAGCAGCAGGTTCGAATGGAACTCACATCCAGCTGGCAGGCACAGTTCTGACAGCCCCCATTCCTATTTGTCAAGTGATCGGTTCTGTGGATTTTTCGCAGTGCTATTGCGAAACTTCCTCGAGCTGAGAATCTAAGAAAATTTCGGAGATGACATCACCTCCACGTGGCGAGTCAGCGGTGCAGAATAAATGCCATCAATGCCTGCTCGGCCTCAGGAGTCCGGGTTGGCCCGTGACACACGAGGGTGCCCCTAGCCTCCTGGGACCTGTCTGGGCAAAGGCTTCGAGGAGGAAAAGAAGGCGAAAAGAACAAGACGCTACAAGGTGAAATTGGGCCACACTCACCTTCCAGAATAGCTGGAATGCAGCCGAGCTGCACGGGTGTGGGCTGTTTCAAGCCGAGCTGCCGACATTGTTCCACCAGCCAGGATGATAGTCCAAGCTCCGCGAAGCCTCCCATCCTCGCCGGCACTTCTGAAAGCCTTAGGAGTAGTGCTTCCGGCGCGTATCTGTGGCGTTGTCGAACTAGTCCCCGTTTATTGGGTCCGCTTCTTGCGTGGTCCTACCCACTTCGTATTTCCCCGAATTCCACACTCTTAGGACCGAATGAAACTATAATTCCCGCAGTGCCTTGCGAGACGCGCTTGCGTCTTCCTCCCCCTTAGTGTCATATAATAGCCTCCCATTGGCTCATTCGATGCCACTGGAAACGAGTAAACTACATTTCCCACAGTGCTCTGTGGTGGGACTTCTGTTTCCGGTCGACGTGTCTCTCAGGAAGAACAGCGGTTAAGGGGACTGAGGTATGGCCCCTCCAGCCCCCGGCACGGCCTCCGGCACCTCTGGGGAGGTGGACGAGTTGTTCGACGTGAAGAACTCCTTCTACATTGGCAGCTACCAGCAATGTATCAACGAGGCGCAGCGGGTGAAGGTGCGGGCGCGCCGGGGCGGGGCCGGTGGAGGCGGGGAGGCTTCCTGGTGGCCGGGCTCCTGCCGCTCTCAGTTTATAAAACCTGTTCCCTTGCTCAGTCTTCTCCACACACCTCTCCACAGTGAGTGAGAAAGTCACTTTCCCGAGCAAAGCAGGGAAAGTATTATTTTTTCCGATAAAAGTTGTTTCCTGGACGTCCTGAACGATATTTGAATTAGCTTGGTACTTATGTCACCATAATGTAAAAAAAAAACTTTTTGAATTGGGGTCCTGCAGGGTTGCCCAGGCTGGCCTTGAACTCCTAACTCCAAGCGGTCCTCCTGCCTCAGCCTACCAGCATCTCAAGTAACTGAGAATTAAAGTGTGCCGCTGCCCTGGTTAATGATGTTTATGATAATATATCCCACCTTAACCTCAGTACCCTTAAGACAGGAACGTTTGCTTATTTTTATTTTCTGATGAGAACACCAAGTTTTCAGTATGGAAAATGGCTTTCCCGATGTTACTGTTCTAGGCTGTTCTGGATATTTCTCCCAAACCTCGCTCATTCATTCATGTTTGATGTTTATATGAATTGGACACCATTTCTCCTAGACTTAGAAACAAAATAGGCAAAATCGCAGCTCGCTTAGAAAGTCAGCCTAGCAGCGGAGACAAACCGTGAACAAGAAAATAAAGAAGTCAGGAAACGAGAAGAGATAGTGAGTTGGGTAACGCCTGGCCATTTGAGGGCTGGCATTAATAGGAAGATCAGCAGGAGATGTTTCTTGCCAGATCTCTTAGAAGGGAATGTGGTGTTGTTGCTGAGCCGCATCCCCAGCCCTAGAAGTTTTCAGTTTGAGACAAGGTCTCTGCCCAAGTTGCCTGTGCTAGCCTGGAACTGGCAATCTTCCTGCCTCAACCTCCCAAATTACTGAAATTATAGGTGTGTGCCACTGTGCCCAGCTTGTTTCTGTTATCTTGAGGTTGAGCTGTTGAAAATTGTGACAGGGCACAAATGTGTGTGGCAGGGTCTTTGCTTGCTGTCATGGTCTAAGGTCCTAAAACAGGCAGGGCGGGGGAGGGTGCAGCTTAGTGGTGAGTGCTTGCCTAGCATGTGTGAGGCCTTGGGTTTGGTATCCAGCATCAAAAAAATATAAGTAAAAGCAAATAAAAATAAAAGTGAGCAAAGTGGGGTGTGATTATGGAATTACAGCTTGAGATGGGCACCATGGGGTGAGGGGCCAAGGACTGATAGGAGAACCCACCATGCTTCATGTGGGCATAGCAGGCCAGGCCTTTCTGGGCGCCTTTGACCTTGACACTGCAGTATGACCTTGTAAATTCCCACAGCTGGGCCAAGGCTGGGATGAGCTCAGGATGCCCCAGCATAAAAGGGGTGGGGTAGCTCTGTGGAACTTGTGCTTAGCATGTATAAGGCCTGGGTTCATTCCCACACACGCACACATATATGTGCATACACGCAGCCCCCAAGATGAAACCTCAGGCAGATTTCAGGAAGCTGTTAGGGTATGTTGAAACACTGTTTCCATATATTTTCTGTGTTTATTTTATCTTAGCCAGGGTGGTCGTGCTGGCCTATTATCCCAGCATGGGGGAAGCTGAGGCAGGAGGATTGCCAAGACTTCTAGGTCATCCTGGACTACATAGCAAGATGCTGTGTCACAAACAAAAGACAAAGACATAATATTTGCATGTAATCTACTCTTGTTCTTTCATAGCTTTGAAATCATCTCTGTGTGACTGAAAATACCTAATACAATTTAAATACTACCCGAATAGATGTCTCGTATGTTATTTAGTGAATAATGGCAGGAGAAAGAAACCTGTACCTCTTCACTGCAGAAGCAGGGTTTTTGTTTTTGGCATTTTGGGACAGTGTCTTACTATGTCAGCCAGGTTGGCCTCACACTCACAGCGAGCCTCCTGCCTCAGCTTCCCCCGTGTCGGGATGACAGGTGTGTGCTTCCATGCCCGGCCACATGCAGTTTTTGTTTTGAACACCTTTGACCTCCTGCTGCCAGCTGTTGACCTTATAGATGTGGAACACGTGGGGGACAACAGTGACTATGGAGACCTCAGGATTCCTTACCTCCCAGCTTGTACAGGCCAGCAGCCCTTGTGCCTCCCTGGGCTGAGCTGATTGGTGGCCAGGCTGTGTCTCCCAGGGCTTCTTGCCAGCTGGTCTGGTATGTGCCTGTTGCATCAGCCAGGGGGTCGCTTGGAGCTCCTTGGAGCTGCTCTGAGGCAGGGTTAAGCACTAGGACCAAGGCCAGCCTGCCACCTGCACTAAAAACTCAGCTCTGTGTCACCATGCCTGTTTCCCCTTCTGTCACACGTGAATGATGCCACCCATAAGTGGGGTCATGGCAAGTGGCTGCGCTTTGTGCAGCGTCTGCTTTGGGCTTCTGCCTGAAGTTTGCATTGCAGCAACACGCAGCTGGAACCGTCCCACCTTATAAGATGGGGACTCCTAGGTGCCACGTCACCCAGACTAGAGACGTAGGCAGTGGAGTGCTAGTCACTCAGGGTGGACCCAGGACCCATTGCCCTGTCTTGGGGACCCCATCACCCAGCTGAGATGTTGTCACGTGCCTGGCACCGTGGTAGTGTGGCATCGTCCCTAGTGAGCTGTGTGGCTTGATGTCATCGAGGCCACAAGCCAGCAGCACTGGTTCAGTGGTGTCCCTGAAGCTGGGTCTGACCTTGGCCAGGTAGTGGGTCTCTTTGGGAAGAGGTCTTTGAGAATGTGAAGGATCCCTGGATGATGCTGAGTGTCTCCTGGGAGGAAGCAAAGGGACACGGGGATGGAGATGCAGCCCCACAGGAGCCCCAGAACTAGACGAAGCACAGGGAGACACCCCCCACCCAACCTTGGGAGGGACTCTAGCCGGTGGCTACTTGATTTTGAACCTCTGGCCTCCAGGACCCTGGGAGAATAGATCTCCATTTTCTGTAAACTGAGTCTGCCACCCAGTAGCCCTAGCCCCAGCTAGGACACCCCAGGAGACACTAGGTCGGTCCTGTTTGTCACCCTGGTGCTGCTTCCTGCATTGGCAGATATGTATCAAGCATCCAGCAGATTGTAGCACTGCCTGGGCATCAGAGTCCTGTGGTCCATGGCTGTGGTGACCTCTGAAGTGGCTCTGGTGACCCATTAAGCGTAGGGCATTGAGAATAGCCCCTGGGGATTCTGGCTGCAGTCCCTGCCCCCATGGCCAAGCCTCCCCAGGTGCAAATGGGACCTGACCCGAGGGGACCACATGCAATGGAGTGGTTAGGGCTGGGACCAGGACAGGTGGGGACAGTGCTACTGCGTGGGCCTACAACCTCCTCTCTGCCCTGGTGGGCATTGCCTTGGGTCTGCTGTCCATTCGAGGCAAGGCCTCTCCCCAGGCACCAAAGGGCTGATGCCTGATGGGTCTCCTGCTGGGACTGGGGTGGGCCTGGCTCTGTCTCAGGGCCCAGGTTGGTGGCCAGACCTGTGCTTGGGATGAAGGGAAGAGTGGAGCTTGTCTGTCACTACTAGGTCCGGAGCCTGGCTCACTAGGAGCCCTAGCTAAGGGTGGCCCCCAATTCCATGTGTGCAGGGTCTCCTTGGCCACTTGTGTGTGCAGCTGCCCTGTGTCCCTGCCAAGAAGCTTCAGCAGGTTTTCACCTCCCAGGTGATGCTGGTTCCACTCTTTGTAACCATGTTTTTCATCATAATTGGTCACAGTGTCCCTAGTCATGGTGACCCAGGCCCAGCCCATGGACACTCTGACCTCTTGGAATGCACAGGTCCTGAGCCTGGTGCTTTAACACTTGCCTCTTGCCCTATTTCATGTTCCCTGTGGTTTTTGCACTAGGAAGGGCTGAACCCAAGGCCTTACCTGAGCTGTATCCTTAGCCCTTCTCATTTTTTAATTTTTATTAACTTATTTATTTTGGTCTTTTTGAGATGGTCTTATTATGCAGTTCAGGCTGGCCTTGAGCTCATTTTGTAGCCCAGACTGGTCTTGAACTTGCAGAGATCTCCTGCCTCAGCCTCATGCATATTGTACTTTTTTATTTTCAGTCAGAATCTCGCTAAGTTCACACTTATCCTCCTGCCTCAGCCTCCTGAGTGCTGAGATGGCCTCGCTTCTTTTGAAGCTGTCTCCAGGCTCCCGTTGTCTGGCTGCAGAGGACATGGGCTTTCTTCTTGGTTCACGAGACTCCTGCAGTGTGAACACCAGGGAAGCCATGCAGACCTGACCTTCCCTTGGCCCTGGTGACCTCATTTATCAGTACCAGGGATCAAACTCACGACTGCCTGCTTGCAAGGCAGGTGCTTATGCCGCTGAGCTAAATCCCCAGCCTTGTGACTGGGACTCTTGGTTGACCCCGAGCTGAGTCCCTAGGGTCAGGCCTCCTCCGCCTGGGATGGGACACATGGCCTCCCTGGAGGCGGGAAAGGAGCAGCTTCTGACCTGTGTGTCTGTGTCCCTGTAGCTGACCAGCACAGAGCGGGAGGTGGAGCGGGACGTCTTCCTGTATAGAGCGTACCTTGCACAGGTGAGTGTGGGCGGCAAGAGCCTAGGCAGGGGTGGCCGGCAGCTGTTGTCCCCTCAGCACCAGGGGAGGCAGCCAGGATGGGTGGGCTTCCACCCTGGAGGAGGGAGAAGGGCATGAGGGCTGACCAGTGAGGCGCTGCCCACCTCTGATAGGTGACCCTTGCTGGCCTCTCTGGGGTACTGCCAAGGGTGTCACCCAAGCTGGGGCTAGAGGTTTCTGGGCAGGGCAGGACCCTGATTTCATGCTGGCAACTGCGCCAGGAACATAGACATCCACCTGGGATTTCTACTCAGAAGGCTGAGGAAGGAGGGTTTCAAGTTGGGGGCAAGCCTGGGTGACCTAACAAGGTCTGGTCTCTAATCAGAGGCCAAGCAGGGCTGACTGCATGTGTGTACCTCACAGAGGAAGTATGGTGTGGTCCTGGATGAGATCAGGCCCTCCTCGGCCCCTGAGCTGCAGGCCGTACGCATGTTTGCAGAGTACCTGGCCCACGAGGCCCGCAGGTGAGACCACCGGTGGTTGGGCCCTCCCTCCTCCTTCTCTCCTCCTTCTTGCCTCTGCTTCTTCCCTTCCCCCTCCCTCCTCTCTGCTCCCTCTTTCCTGTACCTTAGCTTCTCTCACCTGTGAGGTGTGTGTGAGTGTACACAGTCTTGGTTTCCATCCACCACAGAAGTAGCATGCATTGGTGGTGCTCGGGGGACGGAGACCGAGCGTGTCAGGCCCCCTGCAGCCTTGAGGCACTGTCTTCATCCCCACTGGAAACATTGGGTGCTGCTCAGTGCCCCGCGTGGCCAGCAGGCCTTGCCTGATACCCACAAGGATAGCTAGGAGTCAGCCTCTAGTCCTACCAGCCCAGAGGCTGCTGCAGGCCCTCGAAAGGCCCTGTCCCAAGCCCCAGGCCTCGGGGTCAGCAGGGGTCGGGCTGCAGGGACCCTGCACAACCCTGTCTCTGTCCCTGCTGGGTAGGTAACCAGTGGATGCAGGGTGGGGGGCAGGACACTCCCGAGTGGCCGTGTCTCACAGGGATGCCATTGTGGCTGAGCTGGACCGGGAGATGAGCAGGAGTGTGGACGTGACCAACACCACCTTCCTACTCATGGCTGCGTCCATCTATTTCCACGACCAGAACCTGGATGCGGCCCTGCGTACCCTTCACCAGGGTGACAGCCTGGAATGGTGAGTGCCACCCCATGCTCACGTGCCTGGTTCTTCTGCTTGCCATGCAGGCCACACCTGACCTCCTGGGCTCAAGCAGCTCTCCTGCCTCAACCTCCCCAGGAGCCGAGCCGCAGATGCACACATGTGGCCCGACTATGGGGATGATCTTGGTGCATTTCCCTGTGTGACTGCTGCCAGGTGGGGAAGGGGGAGCAGATATGGGTCCGGAGGGCCACTGCAGGTGGAAGGGCAGGCCTCAAGCTGTCATGTGTGCACTCCTCTTCTTCAGGTACCTGCTGACTTCCACAGAAAGTCTGGTCCACTTGACGTTTGGGGGCCAATTCCCTGGTCCCTAGAGGCTGAGGCAGGAGGATTGCACGTTTGAGCCCAGTGCAGGCTACACAGTGGGACTCTGCCTCAGAATCTAAAGGGCAAGGCCATAGCTTATGGACCAGAAGATGCCCCAAAACTGCCGGAACCAAGACCCAGAAAGATCAAGACTAGGTGGCGGGAGGGTAGCCAGGGGTTTAGCTCAGCGGCAGAAGTGTCTGCTTGGCAAACTCGAGGTTGTGAGTTTGATCCCCAGCACCCAAAAAAAACAAAGGGGGACAAGATGGGCTTCGGCAGGAGTCTTGGAAGGGACCTTTAGGGGTGTGAGGGTGGCAAGTGCCCCCTGCCAGCCGTTGTAGTGGGTGGGTGAATGGGATTAGTACCTCTGGGGCAAGGACATTCCCATCTGCAAGGCCTGGCAACTATGGGCAGAGCAGAGAGCTGCCACCTCTACTGCCCCAGGCACCTTTCTGTGCGCTGGGCCACACACCTCCTGGGGACATGGTGGGCATCCCTTGCCCTGTACAGGCAGAGTGGGGACACAGGATACAAGGATGCGTCTGTGCCTCAGCCCAAGAGGCCCCAGGCCGTCTAAGTCTCAGTGGAACACATAAACACTGTCATCCACACTCTGGAGGCTGAGGTAGGATTGTCTTGGTTTTGGTCCCAGCCTGGGCTGCAGAGTGAGGTCCTATCCCAAAGAACAAAAATGGAAAAAAAACCCAGAAGCAGGGGCTCAGGTGTCAGCTGTTGGCCCCTGCCTGGCAGAAAATTGGAAACAAGGGGCGTGCGAGGCATCTGAGGAGGAGGTGGGTGGGCAGTTGCTCCTGTCATGGACCCCCATCTACACACAGCTCATGGTCGCCCCCATCCCTAGTGGTGCCAGGCAGGCTGTGGGGGAGCAGGAATGTTCAGGAAGGGTAACCCAGCATCCAGCTGCCTGCTGACGCCCTGCCTGTCCACAGCATGGCCATGACTGTGCAGATCCTGCTGAAGCTGGACCGCCTGGACCTAGCCCGGTGAGCTGCACCCCCACCCGCTCTGTGCCTCAGTTTCTCTGTGGAAGGCTCCCAGCCCAGTCACAGAGCAGTCTCTGTGTCCCCAGGAAGGAGCTGAAGAAGATGCAGGACCAGGATGAGGACGCCACGCTCACCCAGCTGGCCGCTGCCTGGGTCCACCTGGCCGCGGTGAGCTGCGCTCCTCCCCCGCTCTTCCCCTGGCCTTCCTCCTGGATGGGGTCTGCGGATGCCAGTGCCATCAGGGACAGGACACCCCATGCCGGCAGCCTGGCGCTGTGCCCAGTCCCAGCGGTAAAGGCTGGCTGTTCCCACGAACGCCCCCGCCCCCAGCAGCCGCCCCTTCTGGTCCCTGGGACTTGGCCTTCTTTCAGGCCTGTCTTTGTCCCAGTCCTTTCAGATGCGCCCAGTGTCTGCTCGCGGGGGCTGGTGCCTCAGCCTCAGGCAGAGGAGCCAGGGCCAAAGCCTCCCGAGTGAGCCTTGTGTTTCTTTTTGAGTGTTTTTTTAAATTACTTGTTATATTTTGGTTTTTCTGAGACAGGATCTTGCTATATATTTTGAGCTTGCCTTGAACTCCCTAAGGCAGGCTGACCTTGATCCTCCTGCCTCAGCCTCCTGAGTGCTGGGATAATAGGCCTACATCACTGCAGCAGCTTTTTGTACTTTGTGGCAGTGCTGGGTTAGAAACCCCAGGGCTAGGGGCTGGGGATTTAGCATAAGTACCTGCCTTGCAAGCAGGCGGTCATGAGTTCGATCCCTGGTACCGATAAAAAGGAAAAAGACAAAAAAAAAAAAAAAAAAAAAGAAAAAAAGAAAGAAACCCCAGGGCTTGGGGCTGGGGATTTAGCTCAGTGGCATAAGCACCTGCCTTGCAAGCGTGTGGTCATGAGTTCGATCCCTGGTACCGATAAAAAATTAAAAAAAAAGAAAAGTAACCCCAGGGCTGGAGTGGTTCTCCTGCCTCAGCCTCCTGAGTAGCTGATGCTTCCAGGTGCTCCGTCACCCCTGGCTTCATGTTGTCATTTGATTTTCGAGCCTTTCTTGGACGCGGGTTCCCTGACAAGTACCACACTCTCATGATCAAGGGATCAAGGGAATAGGCCAGGCCCTGTGACCCCATGGTCCGACACACAGCCCCATCCCTGCTATCGTGCACTGAGCTTCTGCCTCTGCAGTGCAGAAGGGCACCCGGGCAGGAATGTTCCAGGGACACAGGGCTGGCCCTCCATGACCAAGGCTATGTTCGCAGGGTGGCGAGAAGCTGCAGGATGCCTATTACACCTTCCAGGAGCTGGCGGACAAGTGCTCATCCACACTGCTGCTGCTTATGGGCCAGGCGGCCTGCCACATGGCACAAGGCCGCTGGGAGGCAGCTGAGGCGGTGCTGCAGGAGGCGCTGGACAAGGTGGGTGGAGCGATGGGGGGCAGCCGAGGCCACACCCCTTCCTGGATTCTGGGCAGCCCAGGAGGGCTACAGAGGTCCTCCATGTGCATGACAAGGCACTGAGGTTTTACTTTGAGGCTGTTTCCCTGCCATCCACATAGTGCACGGCCCCACCTTTCCTGAGAACAGCAGGGGCTTCTGTGGCCACATCCTGGGGCTCTCATCATGCCCCCAGGTGATAGTCACCTTGCTTGGCTACTTGGACAGTTGGCTTGCACCTGTCCATACCCACAAATGGTCCCTGGGCCTCATGCCATGTACCCTAGCCCGTCCTGCCTCTTTCCCTGTGCCCCACCCCGGAGCACTGCCTCAGTGGGGCATCTGCACACATGGTCTCATTCCAAGGACACCAAGGCACCAAGCATTTGGTTCCCTGACGAGGTGCCCAAAGCCATGTGTTACCCAGCGTCAGTGGAGGCAGAGGCAGGAGCATTGTAAGTTTGGAGTTCAGACTCGGCCTTTTAGCAGTGCCCTGTCTCAAGATGAGAAATTCAAAGGCCTCAGTAATTTTGGCACTCGGGAGACAGGCAGAAGGATCATCTCTTGTTCAAGGCCAGCCTGAGCTACATACCAGCACTCTCAAGAAGTAATAAGCAAACTGACCGTCACCCCAGCCCCAACAGGTGGCTGCTGCAGCTCAACAACCCTCAGGGTCACCTGCGTACCGTGTTCCCTAGATCTGGAGCTTGTGGCACCAGGATCGTCCTGGGCTTCCTGCAGTTGGCAGGTGATAAAGCCAGCAGCAGCTAAGACATGACCCCCCCAGGATGACCCCCCAAGGTGGTGTCTCCCACCCTGTATTCCCCTGGGCACAGTCAGGAGATGCCCTGTGCACTGATACCCAGGCTGAGCTCAGGACCATGGGTCCCTCACGTGCCCCCTCCTCTTCTGCTGCAGGACAGCAGCCACCCTGAGACGTTGGTCAACCTTGTGGTCCTGTCGCAGCACCTGGGCAAGTCCCCCGAGGTAGGTGTGGCCAACACCAAGGCAAGGGCGTGGGGTCCCTGGCTCACTGTGCAGGGAGCAGGGTCCACAGGTTGTCCTGGTCCCGCGAGAGGACTGCATGCATCCATGGTGGCTCCTGACTCATGAGGTACCGCTGGCCCTGGATCCCAGGTGACCATGGTCGAGCCAGGCAGCTCAGACCTCTGAGCACAGTTGGACAGTGTACTGTGGCGTCCTGGCCTGGTGTCACCACTCTTCAGTCAGACGCACCTCAACCAGTAAAAGGTTACTGTCCTCGCCAGTGCCCCCTGCAGGCACACAATTCCCTGGCCACAAGCTTGAAGGCTGGGGCGAAGTTCAGGCTAAGGCCGCAGGGTCTTGCAGTGCAGAGCCATTCAGTCGCAGTGACCAGGAAGCTGAGCAGTAGGACAGTGGTGGGGAGGAGTGGTAAGGGCAGGATAGTAGCCAAGGGCTGCCCTGAGGCCTCCCAGATGCTCCCAGGACCCCACACTGCTGCTCTGCAGGAGTTCTGTCTAGCGTCCAGGATGCTGACAGACACACTGACTTCCTGGGTTTTTACCTGCGGTTTTAGTCTTTGCAGTGCAGGGCCATTGCATGGAGTTACAGCCTCAGCCCTCCTTATTTTCCTTATGAAACAAGGTCTCGATAACTTGCTTGGGCCGAGCTTGGACTTTTGCAGTCACCCTGCTTCGGCCACCCTGAGTACCAAGGTTTTGGGCTTGTGCAGTGCTTGGCTGCAGAGTCCCTGCAGTGGTCTCTGTTTGTGTCACAGGCAGGGGTGGTAGGCGGCTGCTTCCAATGGGGGAGTGGACTCCATGCCCATTAGGGTGGGGGCAGCTGTGGGACAGAGAAGCCAGCCTGGGGCCAAAGGCAGGGCGGCTGGTGCCTCCTCGAGCTCATGTACCCAGAGCTGCACTCGTCCCCACCACCCTGGCCACTGTCTGCTCCTGTGTCCTGGCCCACCTGGTTCTTACCTGCAGATCCCCATGTGGCTGACCTGGCCCCCTCCCTGCAGGTGACAAACCGATACTTGTCCCAGCTGAAGGATGCCCACGGATCTCACCCCTTTATCAAGGAGTACCAGGCCAAGGTGAGAGCTGTGCCATGGCCCCAGGGATGGGCCATGGCGCAGGTACCAGCTTATGTATCCTCCCTGTCGCTGTCCTCATCCTTTCTTGCTGAAGGAGAATGACTTCGACCGCCTGGCACTGCAATACACACCTAGCGCCTGAAGCTTACAGGACACCTAGGCCCATGCCCCACCTCGCCGGCCTGACCCTGCCCACCTCTCTCTCCCTCTCCTTACCTAAGCCCTCCTCTTCCAATAAATGTCACCCTGCTGTCTTTGTCCCTGTGTCTGCACCTTGCCAGGTGTATGGGCAAATGGGCAGGGAGACCAAGGTTCCAAGGGATCCCCACTTGTGCCCCTGAGCTGCAGGCGGGAGAACTGTGGGCCCCTCATCCTTGCCCTGGCCCCACAGTGACCCTAGGTTGGCACCAAGGGAAACTGAGGCCCCATCCATCCTGTACCCTGGTGACCTGTGTCAGGGTTCCAGCCTGGGCCCTCAGTGGGAGCCTCCTGGCCTTGGTTCCAGGTGGCAGGGGCTGGGGACACATTAGCCTCAGGCCCCTCATCTTAGCAGCTGCCAGTGTTGCCAGTGGAACAAAGATGCTCCGAGACCCAAGCTCCCGAGCCCTGGCTGCCAGCCACACTGGTCTGGGGCCAAGAGCCGCCTGTACTGGCTGGCCTGTCCCCCCCCAGCCACCCACCTGGTCTGGACTGGGGCCTGTTAGCTGTTGTCGAGGAGATAAGGTGGCCTGCAATTGTGCTGCCTTTGCCTTCCTTGGGCACCTGCCTTCCAGCCAAGGCCTCCCTGGCAGCCAGCATGGGGCAGGGTGGTGGGACCTCGTGGCCCAATGGCCTCCCTGGGCAGTAGCACCCCAGGCTGGTCCCAGATAAGCTCTGGGGCGTTGAGGGGGTGGTTATGCCAGCCTTGGAACCCCACCACATCTGCCACAGGAGAGAAACCGAGCTGGGCACAGGGCAGGCTCTCCAATTACCCCAGGGACCATGGCTACCAGATAGTGTGGTGGCCTCCAGCCAGGCCTTAGAGCCTGTTCCTCAGCCCCTACGAGGGTACACAGGCAGTGGGCTGATGACCTGTGTGGGCTGTGATGAGGCCAGGCAGGGTGGGATTTAAATGGGTCAGGTGGCGTTGGGCAGCACTGAGGCCCAGAGCCCTGTAGATAGCAATGTCCACGTTTTTTTTTTTTTTTTTTTTTTTTGGTACTGGGATAGAACTCATGACCTTGTGCTTGCCAGGCAGGTGCTTATGCCCCTGAGCTAAATCCCTAGTCGGTGACCAGTGTCTTACAAAGGGGTGGGGGAGGGTGGAGCCAGGGTCACAGGCCAAGACCGAGAACCACCACGTGCTAAGGCGGGTGGGCTGGGATCACTGCAAGGAGGGAGGGCATTGGGCCTGGGCAGTAGACAGTCACTTGAGGGGTTCTCAGTGAAGTGCCCTGCAAGTGGCATTAGAGACATCATCCGGGGCCTCTGCACTGGGCTGTGTCCCTGGTCCCTTTACTTTTTGAGACAGGGTCTTTCTGAATTTTTCAGACTGAACTCAAACTTGCAATCCCCTGCCTTGGACTCCCAGAATTCTGGGGTCGTAGGCCTGCCGCCACCCCTGGCTACCATGGTGATCAGGATCCTGCTGTTTACCCTGCTCCCTGCTGTGCCCCAGCCCCTGACTCCCATCTGGGCCATAGTGACCCGGCCTGGCCCAGCCTCACCACTCCAATCTCAGTCACTCAGCCGCAGCAGCCTGCCCCAGACTGAAGAGCAGAGCGGGACCAGGAAATGTCGCAGGTCCCCTGGGCCGCATCCTGCAACTCCTGCGGGGGAGCCTTCGTGTATCCCACACTCCTGATGTGGAGAGGCCATCGGGTGAACCAGGACTGCGATGAGCGCCTGGCCTCATGTCTAGGAGGTGTGAGGGCCCCAGGATCGGCGAGGAGTGATGCTTCCACGCTCCGGGTCCGCAGGGGTCCCGTTGCTCCCCTGGTTTGCTCAGCTGGAAGAGGGGTGCGCCGCGGCACGCCCCCGCCGGGGCGGAGCTCGAGCAGGCTCCGCCCCTCCGTCCTTGGTGCCGGGGCCGCGCGCCCCCGGCCCGGCGGCGGCGCGTGACGCTAGGCGCTGGGATCCGGCGGCCACCGGGGCGGGCTGCGGGGACAGCATGGCGGCGGCAGCGGCGGTGGCGGGGCCCGCTGCACCCGAACCGATGCCGAGCTACGCACAGCTGGTGACGCGGGGCTGGGGCAGCGCGCTGGCGGCCGCGCGGGGTTGCGCGGACTGCGGCTGGGGGCTGGCGCGCCGCGGCCTGGCCGAGCACGCGCACCTGGCGCCGCCCGAACTGCTGCTGCTGGCGCTGTGTGCGATCGGCTGGACCGCGCTGCGCTCCGCAGCCACAGCGCGCCTCTTTCGGGTCAGTGCGCCCGCCCAGGGCTGGAGGCGGGGGTTGGGGACCCCGGGCGTGGCAGTGGGGGGTGGGCGGTTCGGCCGGGGGATTCAGGGCCCAGGGCCACGTCGCTTAATTGTCGGTGCGGGCCTCGTTGGGGGCAGCAGAACGCGGGGCCTCGAGCGGGAGAGGTCGGAGTGCCGGAGGCCCCTTTCCATCCCACGGGGTGGAGGGCGGGGTGGTGCAGAGGTGTGGTCCGGGGGAGGGGTGCGCGGGTCGAGCGTTCTGCACGTGAGACCCCTTGCTGTGTGGGGGCTCAGCCGCTGCGTGCGATGCTGGGGATCCGGCGCCCAGCACCTTGGTTGGGGGCCTGGCTGCGCACAGGGCGCCTGCGCCACGCACTCTGGCGGTGCGCCCAGGACAGTGCGGGGTCCGCCCGGCTGCCGCCTTGCGCTCCCCTGGTCAGCGCCCCCCTCCGGTCCGGCGCCGCAAAGGCCTGGGTCTCAGGGCACCGCACTTTGGCCCCTCCATTGGAGATGAAAGGGGTGCAGTCTCTGCCCTGGACGGTGCCCTCTCCGGGGGCAACCAAGGAAGAGCTCCAAATCTGGGAGGCCGAGGAGAGTGATCACGATGATGACATTGGTTCTTGACACCGTCATCTTCCTCTGGCAGGAGCTAGTGGAAGGGTTGGGGTCACCACGAGCATGACTATGACCCCCCCCTCCCCGTGGATGGCAGAGTTGCCCCGCCCGAGGCCGACTGCAAGTGGGAGAGGGATCGGGGACACAGCGGCCAGCGCCAACAAAGGGGCCTTTCTCTGCTGGCCAGAAAGAGGCCGGCCCTTGTTAGGCCTAGGAGGAGCCGGGGTGTCGTCTGGACGCGCTGTGCCCACCCTGGGCGCAGAGAGACCCTGGCCGCCACCTTGCACGCTGAGGGGGGCGGTGTGACGGGGTATGACCATCCCAGATGGCAGCCAGGAAGCCGGAGGCCGTGGAGATGAGGGCTGGCAGATAGAGCCATCCCCACGTGCCTAGGGGACCCAAGGCTGGTGAGGCCCGGGACACCTCCGCCTTGGAGCTGGCCGGGCCTGGGGGGGGGCCCCTCCCTGTTTCCAGCCTCGTCTTTTCCAAGAGGTGGGTAGAGAGCTCGCCCCTTTTCCAAACTCATCTTGGCAGCAGCCTGGTTGCCAAGGGTTACCGTAGGGGGGGCTGGCTATCTCCATGACAACCACTTCGGGCTCCTCAGCCCCCTTGGCCCGCGTGGGGGAAGGGGCGGGGCTTATCCTGCATGGGGGCCCCGCCTCCAGGCCGTAGACCCCGCCCACCCATCATATTCTTCCTCCCAGGCCTTTTTTTCTGTTGGCTTTGCCTTTGTGTCGCTGTGCACCCCTGCAACCCTCAGGTGTCCTGCCAGACTCAGCTGGCCTCCCCACTGCCTCCTGCACCACGTCATTCTCCCACCGGGGCTCCCGATGGGACACAGGCACACATCCCCCTGTCCCCCCCCTTTTCGCCTGGACGCGGCAGGCACTCTAGTTCTCTGCTGTTACCCCAGCTACCCCTGCAGTCACTTCTCCCCACATCTCTGGCACCTGCATAGAGTGCTTTGGCTTTGCCAGCCTTGTGTTCCCCAGGTAACCCCACATTTCCCTTTCTGACAAAACCCTGTCTCTTCTCTCAGACCTTCTGTCCTGCAACCCCTAGCCCCCGGCTCCTCGAGGCTCACCCCAGGGCCTCCCTCTCCTCAGGTCCCGTGTCCCCCTCTCCGAGGCGATCGACAGCTGAGTGCTAAATTTAGTCCCTGGCAGTTGGTTTGGGCCTTGGCAAAACCAGCACAGACGGGCGCTGTGCACTGCTGCCCGCAGGCTGCCTGGCGTCCCCTGCCTGCCTGGCGTCCCCTGCTGGCCTGAGCCGCACCAACTGCTCGGCCTTCTCCCTCGCAGCCCCTGGCCAAGCGCTGCCACCTTCTGCCCCGCGATGCTGCCAAGATGCCAGAGAGCGCCTGGAAGTTTCTGGTCTACTTGGGCTGCTGGAGCTACAGCGCCTACCTGCTCCTGGGCACCGACTACCCCTTCTTCCACGATCCACCCTCCGTCTTCTATGGTAGGCCTGGGGCACGGGGGGGGGGTGTGTGTGTGCAAGCCCCGCAGGGCAAGGAACCCTATGCGGGACTCTGGAGGCAAGAAGGGGCACCTGGCCTCCAGGAGGAGGAGGGGACTTGGCCAACCCAGCCAGCAGAGGTGCCAGGGCGGCTCACGCCAAGGCCCCCAGGTGTATGCAGGCAGAGGCGGACTACCTCATCCCCAGGAGCTCAGCACCTCCAGCTTTGCCTGTAGCCCTTTTTTAAAAAAAATTTATTCATTTGTTTTTGTTCCCTTATTTTTACTTTATTTTGCAGAGTGTTTTGTTGTTGTTGTTGTTGTTTTGTTTTTTTGAGTCAGGTGCTTGCTGTGCAGTTCAGGCTGGCCTTGAACTCACAGTGATCTTCCTGCCTCAGCCTCTCAAGTGCTAGGATCACAGGCGCATGGCATGTACTCCATCACTCCCAGCAGAGAGCCGTGTCTTTACATATGTGTTTATCAAGCGTTTATAGAGTATTCCAGGCCTTGTGCAGGACACAGAGGCACCACACAGCAGGCACCTAATTATAATAGTAATTAATAATAATAGAAGGGCCGGGCCAGAGCCCCAGGACTACTAGGTACCGGGATCGGGAGTGAGTACAAGTGAAGCTCCCGACAGCTTCCCAGCCAGGCAGGAAAACGTGGACTATCTCCCACGAGGTCCCTGCCAGTGGTGCGTCCCTAGGAACAGAGCCCTCAGAGACAGTGGCAGCGACAGCCACACACTGCCAAACCTATAGCTGGCTCAGGCGCTTGGTCTATGGTGAATACGTCACACTGGGGTTCAAAAACAAATCAGCCATGGACTCATTGATTACTTTTATTGAATTAATTATCTTATTTCCTGGGCTGGCCTCAAAGTTGTGACCCTCCTTCCCCGGCCTCCTAAGTAGTCAGGGTTATAAACCTGCACTCATGGGACAACAATTTGTCCAGTTTGTAATTGTATTACTTGGTGTTTTCCTTAAGATTTTTGAGCTCCTAATACAGAATGGAAAGATACAGTAACAGCTTCCATTTAAAAATTTTTATTACAGCCAGGAATGATGGTGCACACCTAGAATCCTTGTACTCAAGAGGCTGAGGCAGGAGAATCCCTGCATGTTCAAAGCAAGCCTGGGCTACACAGTGAGGTCAAGGCCAGCCTGCACTAATGGCAGGACCCTGTCTCAAAAAAACTAAAGAAGACCCTGAGCTTTGGCAAGAAGTGGCAGGAGTGAGGGGAGAGTGTGTTCCCAGTGGCTGAGGGCTTGGGGGTTCATAGCAGTCAGCGTGTCCTCGGTTGGATACTTTGTTTGAGAAATGTGAACATTGGCCAGTTTCACTAAATAGTTGCATGTAAAGGACAGTGCTCCCTCCCACAGGGTAAGCTGTCCTCAGCCACCAACCATTTCCTCACTGTGAAGAAGCCCTTTACTTGATGTGGTCCAGTTTTTGTTAGGTTTTGGAGTACTCAGGACTGAACCCAGGGCCTTCACACAGAAACTGCAGCCCTTGCCCTTTATATTTTTTATTCTGATTCTTTTATTTTCTTTTCTTGTGTTTTTGAGACAGGATCTCTCTATGCAGTCAAGACTGGCTTTGAACTCAATTTGTAGCCCAGGCTGGTCTCAAACTTGCAATGATCCTCCTGCCTCAGCCTCCCAAGTGCTGAGATTATAGGCATGAGCCACCACGCCTGGCCTCTGTTTGTCTTTTTGAGACAGGGTTTCGCTATGACAGGCTGGTCTAGAGCTCATTATGTATCCAAGGTACATAATCTTAGGTACAGAGATCCTCCTGCCTCAGCCTCCAGAGTGCTGGGATGACCCGCAGGTGCCATCACACCTACCCTTTTTTTTTTTATCTTGAGATGGTGTCTCGCTATGTCACTAATTCGTCTAGACTGGACTCAGATTCACCATCCTCCTGCCTCAGCCTCCCAGAGTGCTGGATCATACATGTGTGGTGTGCACATGTACACACACAGCCCTGCTGTGCTCGGGACACTTCCATCAATGGCACCACATACCATGCGACTTTTCCTGTCTGGAGTGTGTGACTTCACCTCACGTTTTCAGGGGCTGTGGGGAGTCAGCACCCTATCCCCTTGCCAAGGCCGAGTGAGGCTTGCTGTACCCCTCCCTGCTGCTGCTTGGGCCTGAGGTGCTGCGGCTCCTCTGCCTTTGGCGGTGGCAGTCGCGCTGCTGTGGACAGGGAGGACATGCCCAGGTCCTGTGTGTCTGTGGTTCCTCCTTATTTTTGCCAAAGGGCTGGGACACTGCCCAGTGCTCGTCACCAGTCACGCCCCCACCCTTTCCATCTTCTTAATAGGGACAGGTCTAGCTGTGATCTTCCTTCCTCAGCCTCACAAATAGCTGGACTGTTAGTCGAGTGTGCAGCTCCACACCCAGCTGAAGCCCATCCAGTCCCCTGGGGCACAGATCTGGCCTCGAATGTGCCAGGTGGCCAGGGGAGGCCGACCAGCAGGATGATGGGGGCGCAGGCCTGGGTCACTGATGAAGCGGGGCTGTTGCTGAGGTGAGGGCAGGGACACCACGGGGTTGGGGTCTGCACATCTGTGTGTCTCATTGATGGTGGCCAAGGATGGAATGGGGTAGCTCAGGTGACAGCGGGGGCCCCATGCACAGATGTGGGGAGCCCGGGGTGAGAGACCAGCCTGGCTTCCATGGGGACCAAGCTGGGGCCACAGTGGAGAGGGACTTCGGTTCTGGAGGGCAGAGCCCAGGATTGGTTTAAGAGGAAAGCAAGGAGCTGGGCATGGCAGTGCATGCCTGTCATTCCAGTACTTGGAGGCTGAGGCAGGGTCACGGTGAGTTTGAGGCCAGCCTGGGCTAAAAAAAAAAAAAGAACACAGGGACACCTCATCGTTTACAGAAAATGTGTGTACCTGTAGGCTCCCTAATAGCAACCCCTGTGTACTGCAGAGGTGGCAGAGTGTGAGCCCTTCTGCCACCTGCTGGAAATTTCTAGAAATCTGAACCTGCTCAAAAGAAAAAAAAAAAAAGGCCTGTTAGAGGTGTTTACCTGTCATCCCAGCAATGTGGGAGGCTGAGGCAGGGGGATCCCAAGTTTGAGCACAGTCTAGGTAACAATGGCTCAGTGAGACCCTGTCTCAGAATAAAAAATTAAAAAAGGAAAACACTGAGCTCCAGCATGGGGGTTCTGGGTGGGGCTGGGGGCTATTAATAAATGATGGGTAGGGGCTGGGGATTTAGCTTAGTGGCATAAGCGCCAGCCTTGCAAGCAGGCAGTTGTGAGTCCAATCCCTGGTACCGATAAAAACAAAAACGACAAAAAAAAAAAAAAAAGATGGATAGAATCTGGGCTTGGTAGCAGTCATCTCAGCACTCAGGAGGCTGAGGCAAGAGGATCATTGTAAGTTCAAGACCAGCCTGGGCTACAAAGGAGGATTTGGGAATAGAAAATCAGTGGTCAGGCTGGGTACAGTGGTGCTCACCTGTGATCCCTGCACTCGAGAGGCTGAGGCAGGACAAGTGTGATCACAAGTGTGAGGCCGGCCTGGGCTGCACATTTGACTCTGTCTCAAAAGAACAAAAGCAGAAGAAAACCAGTGTCATTTCTCCTCCGCACTTGGGGGCACTGTGGTCTCCCAGTGCTGGGCTGCCAGGGAGGCCCCAGAGTTTCCTGACCATGGCGCTGCTGTCCCCAGACTGGATGCCGGGCATGGCGGTGCCCCAGGACATTGCAGCCGAGTACCTGCTGCAGGGCAGCTTCTATGGGCATTCCGTCTATGCCACGCTCTACATGGACACCTGGCGCAGGGACTCGGTGGTCATGCTCGCCCACCACGTGGTCACACTGGCCCTCATCATCTGCTCCTACGCCTTTAGGTGAGTGCGGAGTGCTGGGTGGGCACAGCCAGGGCTGCTGGGGAGGGCTGGGAGCCTGGGGCCCTGGAAGGACTGGGGTCGGGCCCAGAGGGCAGCACCCCGCCCACCCCGATCTGGGTGATGCCCAAGCCCTGAAGGCGTCACTGGAGGCCTGGCCATGGACACCAGGCACCCTGGTATTCTGGAACCTACAGCAGTGACTGGGCACAGTGGGGCATGCCTTAATCCCAGTTTCCCAGGAGGCTGAGGCAGGCAGGTCATAAATTTGAGCCCAACCTGGGTAACTTACTGAGATCCTTTCTCAGAGTGAAATGCAGGGAGCTGGGGTTTAGCGCAGCGCCCCCTGCATTCCGCCTTCAGTGTGGCCCTCACCCCCCATCTGCTATGCTCTCTGTTCATATGCAAGTAAAAAAAAACAACCCATTTCAAACCAAGGTGAAAAGTATATTCTTGTCAGTCCATGTGATGGCTCCATTTCTTTTTTCTAGTATTTTGAGACAGGGTCTGGTTGTATAGTCCAGACTGGCCCTGAACTCAAAGCCATCCTCCTGCTTCAGCCTCCTGAGTGCTAGGATTACAGGTGTGGGCTACTATGCCATATAATATGTGTATAATATGTGTGTGTGTGTATTTTCTGTCTTTTGAGGCTTGCTTGTCTTTTTTGTCTTGCTGTGCAGTTCAAGCTGGCCTTGAGCTCACTTTGTAGCCCAGGCTGGTCTTGAACTTGCAGTGAACCTCCTGAATGCTAGGATGACAGGTGTGCACCACCATGCCCTGCTTGATTATCCATGAAATGACAGAGTTTTGCACACACTGGGTTCATCAGTCCATGCATGTATTTTTGAGGTGGTTTCTCCATGTGTTGCCCACATTGGCCATGAATTCAAGCAGTCTTCCTGCCTCAGCCTCCTGAACAGTTGAGGCCACAGGCCTGGGCCATCTGTCTTGTATCCACTTTAACCCAACTTAAATTAAGGCCCAGCTGTTTCTCAGCTGCAGTGGCCACAGTGGTAGAGCTGGGTAGCCTGGTAAGGCTGGCAGCTGCTTTGGGCAACAGTAGGGATGTAGAACATTCCTGCAATGCTGGAAAGTTCAAGGACGGTTCAGAGACGGTGGCACTTGAGGTTATAATCAGGTGACAGATGGGGATGGAGTGCCATGCAAAGGGCCTGTGGCAGGAGCAAGTGTGCTGTTGGGGACACACTGACACCCCACAACCCAAGCGGGACTGGCAGCCGTTCCCGGGCAGTGCACGGAGCTGGGATCAAGAGCGTGGCCTGATGGTTCAATAAGAGATGTGGACTCCGTGTAGTCCAGGCCCCCCAGAGTCTGGGTCATGGAATTCAGAGGTCATGGAGAGGGGACCGGGTAGCCCCAGCCATGTGGGGATGGGGACAAGGAGGCCAAGGCATGTGGGGTGCAGTGCAAGCCACGTCTTGCCCCCCCAGGTACCACAACGTGGGCCTCTTGGTGTTCTTCCTGCACGACATCACCGACGTGCAGCTGGAGTTCACCAAGCTCAACACCTACTTCAAGGCCGCGGGCGGCACCTACCATCGGCTGCATGGGCTGCTGGCGGACCTGGGCTGCCTGTGCTTCTGTGTCAGCTGGTCAGTGGGCGGGGCCTCCAGGGGAGGGGTGGGGCTATGCTGGGAAGGGATGGGCTGAGGGGCGTGGTCAGGCTGAAGGGGTGGTGCCTGGTTGTGGGCGGGGCCAGACGAGGCTGGCGTCGAGGGTCCTGGGGGGGGCTGCTGGCCCCCTTCTTCCTGCATCCTCCTGTATGCCCCCCAGGTTCTGGTTCCGGCTGTACTGGTTCCCACTCAAGGTCCTATATGCCACACTGCACACCAGTCTCATATCGGTGCCTGACATACCCTTCTACTTCTTCTTCAACGCGCTCCTGCTACTGCTCACGGTGATGAACTTGTACTGGTTCCTGGTGAGTGGCTTCCGGGCTGGCCAGGCAGTCCCAATCTGTCCCTACCGTCGGGCAGCTGTGCTCCCACAGGTCAGGGCCAGAGCAGGAGCATGCATAAAGGGCCTGTGGCCACACTGCCTGCTTCCCCCCACAGTACATCGTGGCCCTGGCGGTGAAGGTGCTGACGGGCCAGATGCGCGAGGTGAGCGATCTGCGGGAGTACGACTGGGCCGAAGCCCACAGCCCCAAGCCCAGCAAAGCCGAGTGAGTGCGGGGCTCGGCACCCGAGTTCCTTCCTTGAGCGACATCAGTCCCAGCAGGCTCTGTGGGCAGCGGATGAGGCAATGCTGACGTTGTCCCCTAGCCTGCGTCCAACGAGGAGGCTGCAGAAGTGGTGATCTGGCGGCGCCTTAGGGGCAGAGTGGTCTGGGGAGGGGCGTGGGGGCGGAGCCGTGGGTCATGGGACTCACTGCTGACAGTGAACTCTGACTCCATCCCAATCCACGCCAGGGGACAGCGATCCAGGCCAGGGGACAGGACCATGCTCATCCATGGCAAGCCCTCCCAGGGGTGCGGCGGCCCTGTAGGAGGCGAGGGACCCCCAGCAGCCTTCCTGAAGTGCAGGCAGGAGCCTAGCGGCTCCCACGGTCGGACCTGAGAACCTACTTGCAGAGGGGCAGGATTGGGTGACAGCAGTGTCCCCCCAGGCAGCAGGCTGTAGATGGTTCTGAAAGGTGGCAGGCGGCCCGGCCCTCTTATTTGGCCGGAGGGGGAAATTGTCTTGATATTAGGGATTGAACCTAGGGCTTCCACCCTGACCCATACCCTTAGCTCCTTTTTAAATTTTTAAATTTTGAGACAGGGTCTTGCTAAGTCACTACATTGCCCAGGCTGAGCTCAAACTGTGATCCTCCTGCTTCAGCCTCCCAGAGTGCTGGGATAATAGGTGTGTGCCCCCATGCCTGACTAGAAGCATCTTGGGCTTACTGATGCAGGGTTCAGGGCCTCAGAGAGGTCCAGGATAGAGTGTGGGGACGGGGTGACTCCCAGACAGGGCTGGGCGATGGTGACGTCCTGTCCTGGCCCCAGCTGGCCCCAGGTCCATCCCTGCCGGGCGGGCAGCAAGCAGACAGGGCTGTGCAGAAAGCAGAGCCAGCCTGTCTTGCTTTGGATGTGGGTGAAGTGGAAATAAAAGAATCAAAGACAACTTAAGACTTTTGCCTCAAAATGCTCCTCGTGGCCCTGGCGCCGGGGCAGGGCCCGTGTATCTGCTGGCAGGGTGTTGCATTTCTCATGAGGTGAGCTCAGTGCAGCCTCACCGAGGGACCTTCCAGAAGATTCCAGAGGCTTCCAGCAGCTAGCATATGGGGCAGGGGACCCAGACTGAAAAGATCTGTCCTGGCAAGGTACTCGTGCCATAGAATGTGACGCTGGAGCCAGGCCTCCCGCCCGTGCCTGCACTGTCTCAGAGACAGACATCAGGTCAGGACAGGTGGCGGCGGGTGGGGCACCAAACAGCTGGAATGTCCCTGGGGCCAATGGTATTTGACACTTTGCTGGGCCGGCCCAGGGCACCTGTTGGAGGGTGGGCAGAGTTAGTGGGGCAGGGTGGAACCCATGAGGCCCAGGGACATCTCAGGACTTCCTAGAACAGTCACCATCAGGGGCCGGGATGCTGCCCCCGAGTTCTAGAGAGCTCAGCCTCCCTTCCAGACTATGCAGATGGAAACAGGAGCCGGACGTGGTGGTGATGCCTGTCACCCCAGTGCTCCGGAGGCACCATGACTTCAGGGTCAGCCTGTGTTACAGAGCAAGACCCAGTCTCCAAAACCAAAAAGAAAAAAGAGAAAAACACGGGGTGGGGACGGAGAGAGGGAGGGGGGAATGAAAGGGAGGGGCTGTCAAAACTGGAATTCTTCCAAAATAAAAGGCTGAGGAGCTGGCTGTGGTGGCCCACGCCCATAACGCCAGGGCTGGGAGGCTGAGGCAGGAGGACCACCTGCAGTTCAAAGCCAGTTTGGGCTACACAGTGAGTTCCAGGCCAGCCTGCGTTGCACAGAGACCTTGTCTCAAAAAATAAATAATAAAAAGCAGGAAACACCATAAAAAATGGAATTGATACTGTAGTTCTTCCTTTGGCTGTTGTAACGAAGAACCTCACACTGAGTAGTCGTTTTAAATCAAGAAAACCAAGTTCTGCATGGAGGGCTGAGACTGGGCGTGTGTGTGCGTGTGTGTGTGTGTGTGTGTGTGTGTGTCAGTGGACCTGCTTTCCCTCCATACGCTCCTACTTGAGATCCTCCTGCCTCAGCCTCCTTAGCAGGCTTTCTTTCGGGGCTGCCATTCAACCTACTGCCCATTGGAGTCTCAGATACGCAGGAAGAGAAGCAATGTGTTGAGCACTGAGAATGAATGACTTGAATACAGCTCGGATGTCTGTGATGGGGGGAAGCTGGGATGGCAGGGATCAGCCAATGGCTGGAGTTCCAGCAGAGGACCAGATGACAAGACGAGACAGTGTGACAACACAAATCCTTGGCAGGATGAGCCTTGAGGCCTCTGGGCCCCACACCATCCTCCCGCCCAGGGCATCACCCCCAGCCACTCCCACACAAGTGGGAGAACCAGGGGACAGTGGGATGAAAGTGACAACCGGAAATCCTGCAAAGATGGGAGGGAGAACGAGCAGGAAGAAGGGAATTTGCCGCCCAGTCTCCAGATCTTAGCAATTGGCAGCAAGTAGGAAAAGCACCCTAAAATACAGAGCGGGGGAGAAACACTCGGACCTCTGTGGGTCAGAAGCTTGGGGACAAGGCCAGGCTTGCTCGTGCAGCCTGGAGCCCCGGCCACCAGGGGGATGAGGTAGGAGGGTCACCTGAGTCCATGGATTTGTGGCCCTGTTGTGTTTTAAGTGTCTAATTTATATTTGTTATTTATTTATTTTATTTTTATTTTTGCAGCACTAGGAGCTAACCCCAGGCCCTTTGCACTGAGCTGCATTCCCAGCACCCACCCCCAGTTTTTCTTTCTTTCTTTCTTTGTTTTTTTCTTTTTTTAAGACAGGGTCTCACTTTGTAGTCCAGACTGGCACTGAGCTCCCAACTTCGACCTCACAGCGCTCCTCTTGCCTCAGCCTCCTGAGTGCTGGGATCACAGGCGAGCTGCCCCCAAAATCCTTTGTGGGTCCCTTTCCCCCAGCTGTCTTGCTTGGTCTCACTGCTCCCCAGCAGCCTGATCAGCATGGGCCAGCATGGGTCTCCTCTCCTGCCGAGGCTGGCTGTCCAGCACCTGGGTACCCCTTTTCTCCCACATTCCTCCGGGACATGCTGCCTGCACCTAGGGGGAGGTCTTGGGAGCCCCAGGAAGTCCAGTCAATCCCCCTCACCTTCCCCTGGGAATTCCCATTCGGATGTCTCACCTTCCTGCCTCAGGCTTCCCTGCTGTAGACCCAGGAGTCACAGGCCTGGGTCCCAGCTGCTTGGGAGGCTGGGAAAGGGAGGATCATGTGACCCCAAGATTAGGAGGCCAGCCTAGGCCATATAGGGAACTCTCTTTAAAAAGAAATCAATGTATAGGAATCAAAACAGTGCAGGGAGCCAGGCTCAGTCACACACCCTTATAATCGCGGCTACTCACAAGGCTGAGGCAGGAGGACTGCAGTTCCAAGCTAGCCTGGGCAGTTTAGTGAGACCCCCCCATCTCAAAATACAAAGGCCAGGGGTGCAGTTCAGTGCTGAGGGCTTGCCTTAGCACAAATGAGGTCTGGTTTTGGTCCCCAGTCTCACAAACAAGCATAACAAGCTGGGAGCGCTACAAAACACCTGTGGTCCCAGCTACTCCGGAAGCTGAGGCAGGAAGCCAGCATGGGGCAGGAGGGCCCAGAGCAGCCTGATGACTCAATGAGACCCCCGTCTCCAAACCCTGAAGACACCAGTCCAAGAGGAGCTGCAGAGTCTCCCAGAACTGAAAGGGAGAAAGTCCTGGGCTCAGAGACTTAAGTCCCGGCCAACTAGACAGCCTGCCATCCCCACACTCAGGAGGCTGAGGCGGGAGGGTTACAAGTTTGAGCTCAACCTTGCAACTCTGCAAGACTCCATAAAGGTCTAGGGCTGTAGCTCAGTGGAAGGGCCTGGGGCTCAGTCTCCAGTACCACAAAAACAAAAGTAATCCATGACACACACCTGTGGTATCACCACCTCAGGAGGCTGAAGCAGGAGGTCTACTTGAGACCAAGAGTTTAAGCCTGGAGGACATGGGGAGACTGTAAAAGCCTGAAGACCCCTCCAGGGCTGTCAGTCTGGGAATCCCACAAGGACAGTGGGCACAGGGGGCAGCACGCAGGTGGTGTTGGTGCGCTGTGACAGTGCCTCATGCAGTGTTGACGCCTACGGGTGAGGCCTGTCCCCAGCCTTCATGTGTCTGCATGGGGCTGACTGCCGTGACCCCGGGGCAGGGCCTGCAATGAGGGGACATCGGTCCTTGAGGGCACTGCAGCAAGGACCAGGGATAGAGCTTCTGTCATGTGCAGCTGGGCCACCACTATAGGACATGGGCTCTGCTGGTGGAAGAGGGCACAGGTGGGGCCACACCTTTCCGCAGTCCCGGGCAGCCACATCCCTGTCGCGCAGGCAATGGGGCGCTCCTGCCAGGAGCCCAAGGTGGACATCACCTGGGGATGGTGCGCGTTTGCAGAACTTGCCTGAGCTGGGCTCTGCACCACGCGGCTGGGAAACCCGGCGAGGTGTCAGGCCCAGGTTGCTCTGTGGGTTAGGCCAGGGGTGCGGGGGACGACTGGGGAGGGGGCAGAGGGAGGAGGATGGGGGGGACACCGGGAGGAGGATTGGGGCAGGTACAGGGGAAAGGTATTGGGGCGAGGTGCAAGGACAATGCGCCCATAGACAGAGCCACGGCCAGGCCAGAAGGGACTAGGGACGGGACTGTGGGTAGCGGGAACAGTGGAAGAATCCGGATCCTGCGCAAAGCGCAGGGCCAAGCTAAGCTGCGCTGCACTGTGGTCCCCAGGCAGCCACTGCAGAACGGCCTGGTGGACAAGCGCCCCTGAGCCCCTAGTAGACTCAGCCCCACCTCCCGGAGCCGCCACGCCCCTCAAAACCCGCCCACCCGAGCAACCAGATCCTGACCCCGCCCCCGGCCCTGTCTGGACTCGGCGACCCCCGTCCTCCGGCCATTCCCTCGAAGATGCTACCGCCACGACGTGGTTCCCGCTGCCACCTCCTTCTGCTCCTGTTCCTGGCGCCACTGCTGCCCTCGGTGACAGCGGCTCAAGGCCGCGCGCCCCCGGACCCCGCCGCTGCCCTGCTGCAAGCGCTTGGGCTGCGGGATGCGCCCCAGGGAGCCCCCAAGGCCCGGCCCGTGCCTCCGCTCATGTGGCGACTGTTCCGCCGCAGCAACCCCCAGGAGGCCAGGGCCGGCCAGCGGCGGACCTCCCCGTGGGCCACTCCGCGACCGTGCCATGTGGAGGAGCTGGGGGTCGCCGGGAATATCGTGCGACACATCCCGGATCGTGGTGAGTGCCAGAGGGTGGCTGGGGCCCGGACCTCCTGCATGGTGAGGAGGAGGCAGCCCCCAGTGACCTGAGCCCCCTGCTGCGCCCCTCCTTCCTCCTCCTCCCCCTGCTGGTGAGGACCCCGACTCCCGCCCCCGCCTTTCACACAGCCCCAGCCGCCCGGGAGAAGTCCCTGCGCCCACCCCCTGCAGCGCCCCTTCCTTGCAGCTGTCCCGCGGCGGGGAGCGCCCAGCGAGGACCCACGCTCACCTTCCTTCCCTGTGGCCTCTCAGGTGCGCGCGCCCGTCCCCCGGAGCCCTCCTCGGCCTCGGCGCCGTGTCCCGAGTGGACCGTGGACTTCGACCTGTCAGCTGTGGAGCCCGTGGAGCGCGCAAGCCTCGCTCGCCTGGAGGTGCGCTTCGCGGCGGCGGAGGCAGCGCCCGCGGACGGCTGGGAGCTGAGCGTGGCGCCCGCGGAGCCCGGGCCGGTGCTGCTCCGCCAGGAGGTGCGCGCCCTGGGGCCACCGGTGCGCGTCGAGCTGCCAGGAGTCCTGTGGGCAGGGCACGCGTCGGCCCCGAGCAGCCTCCGCCTGGTGCTGTCACTGCGGCCCCAAGCGCCTGCTGCCGCCTGCGCTCGCCTGGCCGAAGCCGCGCTGCTGCTGGTGACCTTGGACCCGCGCCTGTGCCACCCTCTGGTGCGACTGAGGCGTGAGGCCGAGCCCGCGGCGGGCGGCATCCCCGGAGGTGCATGTCGCGCGCGGCGGCTGTACGTGAGCTTCCGTGAGGTGGGCTGGCACCGCTGGGTCATTGCGCCGCGCGGCTTTCTGGCCAACTACTGCCAAGGACACTGCACGCTGCCCGCCGCGTTGCCCGGGCCCGGAGCACCGCCTGCGCTCAACCACGCTGTGTTGCGTGCGCTCATGCACGCGGCAGCGCCGGGTCCTGGCGGCCTGCCTTGCTGCGTGCCCGCACGCCTGTCACCTATCTCCGTGCTCTTCTTCGATAACAGCGACAACGTGGTCCTGCGGCACTACGAGGACATGGTGGTGGACAAGTGCGGCTGCCGCTGATGGAAGCAGCACCCACTTCCACGTGTCGGGGCGCCCTGCGGGGATCCCCACTCATGCCCCTCCTCACTCTGCTGCCCAGGCAGTCCAGCCAGTATCATATAAAGGCAGAACTGTTTATTAAGATTTTATTGGTGACAAAAGAGCTTAAAACATATTGACCAAAAATCAAATTACATTGCCTTGGTATGGATGCTTGACTGCTGCCGGACGGTGGGGGGCAAAGCACAGGGCCAAGCAGAGGCAAAGCGGGTAGGCGGGCAGTTTGGCCACTGCTGGCCCCTGAAGAACTTGGGGCTGAAGCCTGCGATGGGGGCGCCGCGCCCTGGCCTGGCGTCCAAGTCAGCCTGATGGAGGCTGCAGGGTGGGGAGGCAGGGCCGTGCCGCTGGCCCTGCCCGCTTCCTTCTAGGTGCCTGCGGGACGGGCAGCCCTGCTCCACCACCAGCTTTGTCTGCCTCCTGCGAACAGAGCCGTCCGGGCCATGCCCTCCTGCCCTGCGGATCCCGGCCCAGGGTGCGCAGTGTCCACGGCTTCTGAGTCCTCGGGCAGCGCCCCATCCGCGCTCCTCCTCCGTGCTCCAGTGCCGGGCCTGGGATGCAAGGCTGCCAGCCGCTCCCAGGTCTGCCGCTAGGATCTTAGAGACAAACTTAGAAAAGTATTTCTCAGTACTTCTTTGAAAAAATCTTTAAAAAAAAAAAAAACCAAAAAAAAAAAAAAAACCAGAAAAACCCAAAACACCATGTTTTCTTTAAGTGAAACCTAGGGACGCAGGCCGGCCCGGCCAGTCCGGAGCCGCCACGATGTCCCCTGGGAAACGTAGTCCCCTTCGGTAAGAGAGAGAAGGAACCGGGGCAGGGCTACTCTGAGACAGGGTCTTCGCCTCCGCCAGCCGCGGCCCGGGGCGCAGCAAGCCGGGCCTCCAGGTGGGGCTCCTGGCCGCCACCTCCGTCGCCTCTCCCTTCTCCTCCTCGTGCCACCGTCGCCGTCGCCTTCGCCGCCGCTGCCGCGTGCCCGCAGGGGCCTCGCTGCCGGCTCTCCCTTGGCTGCTGCCCCTCCTGCCGCTCACACAGTGGTGCCTCAGTTTTAGCAGTGGAAAACAGGTATCCTTTATTTTTATTTTTATTACCCAGAGTAGGACGCTGACGCACTAAGCCACGGCGCTTAGCTCTCCCGCCGCCACCTGCAGAGGGCATTGAGTGTGTCAGGGGCAGGGATAGGGGGACACCCCCACCCCCACCCCCACCCCGCTGGTGGAGATGCTCGCCTTCTAGTACTGGGATAGCCCTGTCACACCGCCGTGCTGGTAGGCTCGCTCCCCCTGGTACGTGGAGTCCTGCGACAGCGCCACATCGATCTGGGACTTAAACTCGTCACCCAGGTAACTGTCCTGAAAATAGGGCAGGTGGGGTGAGGGGTGTGGCCTACAGCTCTGGCTCACATCCCTGCCCTGGCCCTCCCAGCACATACCTGCGACAGCTCGGGCTGTGACAGGCCAGGCTGGCTCATCTGCGACGGCTGGCTCATGGAGATGTAGCCCTGTGTGAGCGCGCCCTGGGAGAAGGGCTGTGACGACACGTCCTGGCTGGCCTGGCTGCTGGGCAGAGTGCCCTGACTGGGTCCTGGCAGCCCAAAGCGGTTCTTCTGACGCCCACCCCGGCCGGCCTTGCTCTTCGGGGCACCCCGGCCTAAAAGGGCATCGGTGACAGGGTGAGTGGCAGGGTGTGGGCCCAGGGTCAGGGCTGCGGCTAGGGCAGGGTGCGGGCTTACCTGCAGCTGGCCCGTTGGCCTGTCCAAAGTAGCCAGGTGGCGGCATGGGCGGCATAACCAGGTTGAAGGGAATGGGGATGTTCATGGCGGCCACGTGGCTCGGGCCTGCGCTGATCATCCCAATCTGGTCGTGGGTCTGGAAGTACATGCTGGACGGCCGGCCTGGGGGCGGGCAGGCAGGGGTATCAGTCTGGCCCCACTAACCTGAGCCAAGATGCTGGCCCGGGGGTGGGGGTGGGACCACGCTGCAGGGGTCAGAGGAGGGGAACAGCTAGAGGAAGGCCCAAGAGCCAGCAGAGCCCAGCCCCCAGCAGTATCACAGAGCTGTGGCCCCAGCTACACAGGCTGCTGGGTGAGGCCACCCAGGCATGAGAAGGCCACGCCCCACGGGGACTCACCCTGGCTGCTGCGATCATACACGGAGCCAGGGATGATAGCTTCGCGTGCGTCATACATAGCTGTTGTCATGAAGCGGGCGCCCTGCGGAGTGGCAGGTCCATGAGGAATGTGTCACCTGGCAGGGACACCTCCTGGGGCAGAGCAGGGCAGAGCACAGCTCACCGGGTTGATGGTGTTGACCAGCTTGCGTGGCTTGCTAAACTGCATGAGGCTCTCGCGCAGGTTGTTGAGCGGCCCCTCCACTAGCACCTTCTGCTCCTTGTAGTAGTTGAGCAGGTGATTCCATAGCGGCTGCTTTGACAGTGCCTTCGGGTTGCCCACGATGATCACGCCGTACCTGGGGGGGGAGGGCAGGGCACTGGGAACAGTGGGCTGGGGCTGGGCTGCAGCCTCCCTTGGGGTGGCAATGAGGATCCGGAGACCACGTGCACCTGAGAGTCACACTCCATCAGGGCCCAGTCCAAGGGGATCCGCAGTGGGAGGCCGCACTGCCTACCGAGCTCTGGTCAGGGCCACATTGAGCCGCCGGGGGTCATTGAGGAAGCCAATGCCCTGGTGCTCATTGGCCCGCACACAAGACAGGATGATGAAGTCCTTCTCGCGGCCCTGGAAGGCGTCCACGCTGGCAATCTCCACCTCCTGTAGGCCCGGGCAGCCGTGAGTATGGGCTGTGGGGAGCAGGGGACCTGACTCCCGCATGCAGCTGTCGTCTCAGGTCCCACTCTGCTTCTGGTACAACCACCACCCCTCCTCCCCAAAACCCGGCAGTGACCCCAACACCCCCAGAGCCCTCGTGCCGCCCACCTGGTAGAGCTTGGTGTGCAGTGAGCCGCTGAACTGCATGTACTGCACCAGGTAGGAGCGCTGGCCCTCATAGGGTGTGATGATACCGATTTGGTCGGGCTTAGCACCAGCCTTGAGCAGCTTCGTGGTGATCTTCTCCACATTGGCAGCCTCTGTCCTGTGAAGGCAAGGCAGGGCTGAGCGGGGCAGGGGCAAGCAGGGCAGTGCTGGCCAGGCCAAGGTGCCCAGGAGCATACAGAGCCCCTGCTCACCTGTTCAGGTAGGACGTGCCCGAGCTGGCGATCTCTTCCTGGCCCTGGGTCACGTAGAAGAACATGGGCTTGTCAGGTTGGGGCCACTGGAAGTCAAAACCCTTCTTCACCCGGTCGGCTGCCACCAGAGAAAGGCAATGTGTCACCTCGGGGACAAAGTCATGGTCTTCCCAGAGACCCCGTAGAGGCAGCGGCCCCACATGGGGCTGGGATGGGCTCCGGAGGGCCCTGGATGAGTGCTCAGCAGCAGTCCCTGCTCTGGAGAGGCCGAGCCTGTGTTTATAGCAATCACTGTGTCTCTAAGCCAGAAACCTATAGGACCTGTTAATTAGTTTAGAAATAAACCTGGCCAGAAACAGAGGTGCATGCCTGTAACCCCAGGCCCTTCGGGAGCTAGAGGCAGGACAGTCACAGGCTCAAGGCCAATGTGGGCAACTAAGGCAAGACCCACTGAGCCCGTCTCAAAATAAAAAGGGCTCAACCCTAGTGGGGTACCCACACAGACCCATTATGAGAAACACGGTTTCCCAAAAACTAACTGTTTCCCAAGAACAGGAGGGGAGGCCGCAGAGCCTGCTGGTGACGGGGCTGGATGCCACTCTTGTCCACCGAGTGCAGTTATCCACACCTAGATCCTGCCGGTAGGCAGGACAGGTCTGTGGCCTTCACACAACTGCGACAGCCTGCACTGGTGGAGTGGGGAGTGTCTGTCCCAGTCTCACAGATCTTCCCGTGGGGACTGCTTTTACAGTTAACAGTAAACACATGCCGCCAGCCCTCGACAAAGACCAGTCAGGCCCAGGACAGCAAACTTGCCCAGGCACTGTGGGTATCCCATAAACGCCCCCTTCCACTTCCATCTTTAGAGCTTTCTCTGTGCTGTGCTCTGAGACCAGCCCTCATGATCAGCTGCATGCTTCCTGCCTCAGCCTCCTTGACCCGGAAAACTTGAGGCACGTGTGTGCCGAGCACCCCACCCATCACCTGGCAAGGAGGATGGCTGCTTAGGGCTGGTTTCTCACCACGGCCCTGGGAGTCTGTCCCAGCCCCTCACCAGCAGTGGGAGGTGGGCAGGGTCATCAGAGCACTGCCGACCTCAGGGGACTTTGAAGCTCCAGAACCACTGTGCCACTGCCCAGAAAGAAGCCGAGTGGGGTGGCTCCTCAGGAAGTACCCTATAGGCCCACAGTCTGGGACACCCCTCAGGGACTCTGCCTTCCACGCCAAGCCACCCCCAGCCCTAAGCCCGTCACCTGCAGTGACGCCATTCTGCAGCGAGCCCTCGTAGAAGATGTTGGAGGGGAAGGCGCTGAGTGCGGGGTGCATGCGGTACTGGACCTGCAGGCGGATGGGGCGGATGCCCAGCACCACCAGGCGCTCGAACAGGGACTGCGATAGCCCAGCCTTGGCTGCCTTCTTGCACATCACCACTGGGCCCAGCTGGCAGTGGTCACCCACCAGGATGAGCTGTGGGAGGGACCCATGAGGTTGGGAACCTCAAGCATGCAACAGGGCCCCCCCCCCCCGCATCCACTGACCAGGCCCCATGCCTCCACCCACTGTGCCAGGCCCACCTGCTTGGCCCCCAGCACCACGGGAACCATGCACTCAGGCTCCGTGGCCTGGGTACTCTCATCAATCAGGATGGAACGAAACTGCATCTTGGCAAGCCGTGGGTCGCCCGCACCCACGCAGGTGCAACAGATGACATCAGCATTCTGGGGGGTGACAGAGGCATCAGGTGCCATGCAGCCACATTCCAGGTTGTTCCCACACCCCCCGAAACATCTCCTACAGGCTGTCCTCTAGTCAGAAGCCTCAGAGCCCCGCCTGGGCCGGCAAACCACACTGGAGCACCTGCGCCACGGCAGCAGCTGGCCCTCCCTCCTGACCTGGGCACACAGGCCCAGTCCCTGAGAGCTGGCAGGAGCAGCAAGGACAGCAGGAGGGGACGTGGCCCGGGATGCGATGGGCGGCATTGCCCCAGGGCTCACCATGAGCAGCTCCCTCTCGGCTGTGCGCTTGAGGGCCCGGTACCGCTTCTCGTCGGCAGATGACAGCTCTCCAGTCTCATCCTTCAGCTGCTGTAGCTTCTGCAGTTCCGGCATGCTGCGGGCACAGCCAGAGCGTGGGTTAGCAGCCTGGCTTGGGCCTGGGGGCTGGGGGCCCCGGGCCCAACCCATGCGCACCTGTCCATGTTCCTGATCTGGTTGTGCAGGGCCAGGAAGGACACGGGTGAGTCGATGGCCTCACGGCTCTTGGCACAGAGACGCACGACCTTGAGCCCCGTCTGGTGGATCTTCTCCGTCAGCTGATCCACGGCAATGTTGCTTGGCGCACACACGAGCACAGGCCTGTGGTGAGACCACCACTCAAGTGTGTGTGGAGGAGCCAGGCCCGGCTCCCAGCTGGCTCTGTCCTCCACAGCCTCAGCCTCCCATCTGCACAACAGCGATGAGAATCGCAAGACACAGAGGCAGGACAGAGTACAGGACACATGGACCATGGGTCCCCCCTCACCTCAGGCCCCGGTGCCTACCCGTTGCCCTGCCGGGCCAGGTGGTACACGATGGTGGCAGAGGTCACCGTCTTGCCTGTGCCAGGTGGGCCTTGGATGAGGCTCAGTGGCCGCTGCAGCACAGTCTTAACGGCGTACACCTGGGAGTGGTTGAGATCGGGGAGCCCTTGAGCCGTAAAGCGCTTGGGCAGCTGACACTTGACAATCACGTCCTCCACCTCATGGCCCAGCAGCTTGTGGTAGATGTAGCCAGACACGGAGGTCTCATCCACGGCGAAGGTCTTTAGCGCGCTCTGCATCCTGGGGGAAGCTATGGTCAGAGAAGCTGCCTGCCAGACCCTGAGCCCACCCCGGGCCCCTTAAGTGAGGCCGTCACCGCACCTGTCGAAGGAGGTGGACTTCCACACAAAGTCCACCTGGAAGTTGTGCGTCACCTCCACAGGTGCTCCCACACTGCTTCGGAGCTCAATGGCGATCTCATCACCATAATCTGGGCGCTGAGTTAAGTTTGCTTCCTTGTTCAAAGCCCACACGCCCTGTCTGGCGGCCCTGTGTCTGCCTGCCTTCCACCACCGCCACCCCCTCCCCCCCGGGCCGAGTGGAGCCTGTGCACCGGGCTTCCCCAGGGCGGAGGCCTTGCCAAGCCTGCGGCTTAGCCCCACTGCGCGCGAAGGATACTGTCGGGGACCTTGATGACATGGCCGATGCCCTTCCACAGGGGTGCAAGGTCCCCTTTGTAGCGCAGGCAGATCTCATCCCCCTGCATGAGCCGCATGTCTGCAGGAGAGAGTGGGGCTCAGTGTCCTGCGATGCCACCCGGCTAGGCCCGGCCTCATGTTCTGTGTGGCCGCACGAACTTAAGTGTTACAGTTACCTCTCAACCACACTAGGACTACACCCTCCTCACCAGAGTCAGTCTTGGGCAAGGTGAAATAGGCGATTCTCTTCTTGTTAAGGCCCAGGTCCCACCTGACTGTGATGTTGTCCTGTGTCTGAACACATGGAAGACAAGGACCAGGTCAGCTAGTCACCGGGGCCCACACAGGGGTGTGGGTAGGGTGGCCCGGGCCCTGAGGCATGGTGGGAGCCACCCAGGCTGGATGTTCTGGAGGATCATGCCAGACCCTGTGTGGGCCACATCACCTGTGACTCCTTCAGCTTCTTGTCATAGTCTGCCTCCAGCTTGACCAGTGGCCCAAAAATATTCTGGTACTGGTAGGCGTCCTCATAGCGCAGAAGCACATGTTGTGGCTCCTCGTCCACACCTGGCTTCTCCAGGTCTTCCAGGGTGGCTGAGGGGTTTTCCTACACGGCAGGAGCAGTGCCAAGCTCAGGCCCTTCCTACCCACACACAGGCAGCAGGAGCCCAGCAGGCACCCGAGGGACAGAGTATGCCACCTGCCCGAGATCAGCCCCCCTGGTGTCCCCTACCAGCTTTGACATGCCTGCACTGTGGTAATGGCCCCAGCACCTGGGTGACACTGCCCCTGCCCAGGGCCTATCCTCTTCCCCCACTGGCCAGCCCTCCTCCCAACGTCCACAGCTTACCCACGCATGCAGGTAGGTGCTGCGCAGAACCTTCTGAGGTTTTACTCTGAGACTCATTTTACTGAGCTTCCCTGCTGGCCTTGACCTTGGCTGGGATCCTCTTGCCTCAGCCTCCTAAGGGCTACCCCGTAATGTGCTCCCAGAGTTCTCACTGCCACCCATGGACTTGCCCGACTGGGCCCTGGCCCAAACTCTGCCTGTACCCCACACCCTCTCCCAGCAAGAAAACAAAGCCTGAGGCATGCAGAGCCGCGTGGGCCCGGCCCGGCCAGGCCAGGGCCTCGGTGGGTGCATGCAGGGGCCCAGCTGCACCCACCTTCCAGAGCTCCTCCAGTTTGTTGATCTGCTGGGCCGTTATCTGCCGTGCCCGCAGCTGCTCCTGCTCCGAAGGGATCTTGACCAGCCAGGAGAGGAAGCAGCGGTCCTGGATCAGGGGCTGCCACTGTGAGCTGTCCCAGTTGATGTCCTTGAGGCTACTCTGACTCGCGCAGGGCTGCCTGCAAGGGCAGTGGATGGGGCCATCTGTGACAGCCCTCATACCTCCGAACCGACAGTGTCTGGGGACCTCAGAGCCCCAGCAGAGCACACCCCGCAGAGCCCTGAGCAGAGCCCGCTCACCGGCACAGCAGCACCACGACCGAGTCGGCCTTGGCAGGGATGAAGCCGAGCAGGAAGACATTGCGGCAGCCGCAGTTGTAGCACTCCAGTACTGTCTCCCCTAGCGGCCCGTCCTTGTGCAGGGTCACCTCCTTGCATTTTGCCCTCACAAGGTGATTTACAATGTGGCTGAAACCAGGAAATGACAAACAGTTAACACCTAAAGTCTGGCTTTTCACCACTTGCAATCTCCGGGCCCCTGTCAGAAGTCCCGGTTCCATTCACGGTCCATTAGCAGTGGCAGTCACACCTCATCCATCTGCTGTCCTGAGCCCCACAGCCCCATGGGCGGCATCCCCCTGAGCACAGAGCTGGCTCTGGCTCCAGCCTTTGCAAGGGAAACTTCCTAAGCCTGGTGTGCTGAGCTCCTGGGGGCACCTCCCAACCCGGTGCCCTCCCAGTTGGCTTTTCAGCCCGCTCCCAGTGCTGCCCAGGCTGCCCAGGTCGGCAGGGTTCCTGTCCCCCACAGGCTTCGGTCTTTCAAAGCCATTGCTAACCCTGGGAGCCGCAGCCCCCCTTGCTCACCGGGCATCAGAACCTGCCTGCTAATTGCACCAGGGGAAATTAGAGGCCAGCAGAGTGCCAAGGGACTGGGCCCCCCTGGGGTCACACTGAGCCTGGGCTGCCAGCTGCCCCACTCTGCCTTGTGCTCCCCCTCTGCCCAGTGGGAAGCCTCCATCCCTACCACCTGCTCCCCAGGCTCTGCTCAGAGGTCCTGCTTACTTCCCTGCTCTTGGCTGTGCTGACTGGAAGAAAGGGCTGCCAGCTAAAGAGTATGACTTAATTGCTTTTCCTGCACGAGAGGAACGCATGCCAACAGAGCAACATTTAAGTTGTCTAGAACATTCTGAATGGTCACCAGAGCCCTGGTTACTTTTTTTTTTTTTTACACTTTTAACTTTTATCAGTACCAGGGATCGAACTCACGACCACCTGCTTGCAAGGCAGGTGCTTATGCCACTGAGCTAAATCCCCAGCCCCCTTGAAGGCATCCAGCCCTCAACCCCCACCTGCTGAGACGATGTGAGCGCTGCCCTCTGTGCCCTTCCCTCTGCACGCGCACGGGGAGCTTTCTATCCTCACAAGAGGCTGCTCCTTGCTGGCCACAGAGAGCCTGGGACCTGCAGACCCCACTGGCTCCACAGCCATGGAGGGACTCTGCCTGTCCCTACAGCCCACGGGACTCACCAGCCATCAGGGACAGCCAGGTGTGCCCCTTCTGGACCCCCTTGGGAAGACACTCATCGCACCCCAGATCCAAGACCACACTGCCACAGTGCTGGGGTCAGCAGCAGGTGATTGAAGCCCTCAAGGACACCAGGTGACCCTTTGTGTGCCTGAGTGACTCAGGAACAAGGTGGCATGAGCCAGGGCCGGGCCAGGGAAACCCTTCCCAGACGGTTCCCCAGGGCCCAGAGCTGCACTCATCTCACTCAGAGAAATAAACAGTGGGAAAGAGAAACTGGCCAAGCCTCCTGCATAATAAAAGAGCCACAGAGTAAATCAAGGGTAAATACACGACAGCATCCGCACGCCACCATCTGTTTCAGCTTAAGTCAGTCATGGCAGAGGAGAGGCCAAACCCCCAGCCTGACTGCACCCCACTCCCGCGTGGCCCACAGCGCCCCACAGCGGCCCTACCTGCCAGAGGTGTTCCCGCGGCCATTGCAGAACCACTTCTTGCTGGTGTTGCAGTAGACCACGCAGGCAGGGTCATGGATGCCACAGTAACTAAAGAGTGCGGACACCAGGGGTTAGAGCCAAGCTGGAGCCGCACTGGTTTTAATTTGGCAGAATGTAAAATTCCTCCCTCTTACAACATTTGTAAGTTTTTCATTAAACACATTCTCAAGCCCCGGAAGAGCCGACTCACTCTAAAGTCGGACAGCCCGGGCACTGGGTGGAGAGGCCCTGCTGGCCAGGTCAGGGTGGTGGGGGAGGCTGGATATCTGCACCCCAGGGTGAACTACAGGCCCTACATGGCTCCAGGCCCCAAGGCTCTCAGCAATGAGGGGGCCTCTGTGCAGCATCCTCCAGCAGAGGGCACTATGCTCCCAAGGACAGAGTAGGGGATCCACCCCACCCACCCAGGCTCTCTGAATTCCACAAGAATACTGGCTCTCCAAGGGCTCTGCACCCTCAGAACAAAGTCAGGTCCAGCTCCACCTGAATGCAACCCAGCCCAGCTCCAGACCCAACTCCAAAGAGGGGTGCCTCACTTCACAGCTCAGCCTCCCTCAGCTCCCCACACACCCTAACAGTTCTCTCTCTGTGTGGGTGTCAGAACCCACAGAGCCCCAACATGCCAGGTAGCCCTGGAGGCAGGGCAGTGCTGCACCTGTCCTGCACAGCACGCCAGGGAGCAACCAGAGGGGACCACGTCATAGGGCCACTGCGCTGAGGCCAGGCCCTCCCTCCACTGCCCTGACTGGCCGGGAGTCCTGAGAAACCCTTTCATTTCCCTGGTCTCGATTCCTTGGCATCTGAGGAATAGACACAAACGAGCCCCAAGGGCAAGGGCTACGGCTGGGGCCCCTGGCGGCATCCCTCTGCCCACCTGCAGGCATGGATGGGGAGGTCCTTCGTGTAATAGGTGTCCTCTTCGTCCTCCTCAAAGTTCAGCTCGGCCAGCAGCTGGCTGGTCTTGGCCACGCTGTCGTCCACAGCCCCATTCTGCAGGATGCCCTCAGGTCCCACCTGGAGAGGCGGCAGTGTCATGGTGGGGGCTCTGGGACCCCGACCCCACCTGCTGTGCACTGGGTCTGGCCCCACAGTGACAAAGCCTGTATGCAGTCCCTGGCCATGACAGAGTGGCAAAGGAAACGCTCACTTCCCGTGCCAGAGGGCCACAGTGGCAGGAAGATCTGATGAATATGGCACGGCATGTCGCCATTCCCCTGTGGACAGGGGAGAACCTAGCACCCCAAGCAGCACAGGTGCGAAAGCTGCCTGGGCCAAAGGGAGGTGACACAGCAGGAGAGCCTGCATGAGGCCGCTTGAGCCCTGTGAACATGCACGCCACCAGCCCGAGGACAAGAGACCCACTGCCCCACAAAAGACTCATTGCCCCACGGACCAGGTAGGCAAGAAGAGCCTCCACCTCAGACCATGAAGCCTGTCCATACCATGAAGCCTGTCCATACCATGGGGGCCTGACCGTGACACCTGCTCGCTGGCCAGCCACTTTAACACAATTTCTTAGCTGGCAACTACTGGACTAACAGCACACATCACCAGAATTTCTTTCCCAGCAGGAAGACCAAAATTAACTTTCAGACTTTTTTGGCAGTATCACAGACCGAATCCAGGAAGCCATGAGCTATGCCTTAGCCCTCCATTAAGTAGTGCAGGCGGCTGTCCTACAAGTTACAACCCTTCTGCCTTAGCCTCCGAATGGCTGGGATTACAGATGTGCACCACCATACATGTCCTGGTGGCATTTTCCACGTCTGGGGACAGCCAGGTTGAGCAGCCACCAGTAGCCGAACAGGTGCGTCTGTCCAGAAAATTTCACTACTCATGGGTTTAAGGACCCTGGTTTGGCACCTGCCCAGGGCTGAGCAGGAGTAAGCCTGTGCTGGTGCCTAGAGTAGGAAACCTCCGTCTGCTCTCAGTCTGAGCTCCTTCGGGCTCAAGGCTGAGTGCACTCCCTGCACACGCATGCAAGCCCTCTGCCTACTGCCCACAGCCGGCCTGTGCACTCTCCTCCCACTCTGGGACACTTCAACAAGACAGGCTGAAAGCCCTAACCAGGTAACTAGGTACACACAGGCCCCCTCAGCAGCCCGGGGCCACTCCTCCACCAATCCTGAGCTGGCACATGACTACGCTCTGAAACATACCGTCACGCTGGGACTCTGGCCAATTTTGCCCTACAAACAAGACTCCTCATATTCCTGCCCCACAGGGGTCCCAACTGGGCTCTGCCTGTTGCCCACCCCTCTCTGTGCAGGGCCGCAAGCCCTGCACTCCACTTACCATGCCTGGGACAGCCACTCAGGCCTCCTTCGCTTCAGCAGCCTAGGAACCCTGGAGGGGCTGCTGTGCAGTAATCTGCAGACCAAGGTCCCTGCCACACTGGACCCCTTCTATCCACAGAGAAACTCGAGTCCAAGGTGACCTAAGTCACCGCTAAGGACGGCGGAGAACATATGCTACAAACCCTGCAGGGCAGGCATGCTGGTGCACACCTGCAATCCTAGCACTTGGGAAGCTGAGGCAGGAGAGTGGCAAGCTCAAGCCCAGCCTGGCAACTTGGTGTGATCCCATCTCCAAGTGAATAACTAAGAAAAAGGGAGGAGGCACAGCCTGGTGCACAGGACCACCAGGGGTGAAGAGGAACTTGGGGTCTGTGCCACAGTCAGATGACCCATCCTCAATGTCGTCACGAGAAGCGGGGGCAGTCCAGGGCCAGGTCATTGTGGCCTCATATACTCAGGAGGCGGCACTGATCAGAGGGAGGGCTGGGTTCATCCCTAGCCACTGTGCTCAGTGCACTTCAAGCCCCGACACCCCAAGCAGGAGCCACCCCAAGCCCACCAGGCAATGGGGGTCACCTGCCTGTCAACATGGGAGCCTGGCACAGGGTCCTGAGGCCAGCTGGCTGCCAGCTCCCAGCTGCCACCAGGGCAGCACAGAGGGGCACTGGGGGTGCATGCAGCCTGCTGAGGAAAGCACTCTGCAAGTCTGAGGCTGTGACCTGTGTGAGGGCAGTGCTGTGAAGGGCACCAGGGCTGGTCACACCTACCACCTAGCTGCCCCAAGTGCTAGCCTGTCTCTGCCTGCTGGATCATCCAGAGGGTGCACAACCGCACCCTCCCTGGTGACTGGTGGGCTTGATCGGCCCCAGTGCAGTCCTGCCAACCCAGGGCGCTGCTCCAAGTTCCCCCAGCTCCCCACGACAGGGTCCAGCACCCCTGCCAAGCATTTGCACCTCAGCAGTGCTAGGACCACAGTGCACAAACCTGGGATGAGGCAATGAGGGCACTCATGGTACCCGGCCACCTGGGACTCTGAAGTGCCCCAGGCCCTGCCACCCACCAGCACCACCAAACACACCCGGGTCAGGGCCAGTGCAAATGATGGAGTCACCAGAGAGGGATATCCAGGGGCTGCATCACGCAGCAGCAGGACCAAGAGGAAGGCAGAGGGAAGGGTAGTCAGGCAGGTGGCCCACAAGGCACACAGGACTCTAGGAATTTACTTAAATAAATAAGTTGTGTATCATGAGCAGGGACCTCAGAGAAGCAAAGAGAAGAGGTTGCACTGCTCCCTACCACCTGCCACAGCAAGGACCACGCTGGACCAAAAGGTTCTAGGGGCTCGGAGCTCCTACAGTGCAGAGCTGAGATGGAGCTGGGACCAGGGTGGGCCAGGCCACCTGCTCTACCTGCCAAGGGCAGTGGATAGGAAGAGCTCTCTCCCACTAGCTAGGGACCTGCACAGGTAGCACTGGGCACTGCCAGCCCCACTCCCCCGCCGCCACTCCACAGCCCCAGCCATGCACCAAGCAGGCCCAGTGAGAGTTGGCCTGGGCCCCTGCACACCCAGCACAGCACCCTAAGTGTTCCGTCACAGCCAAAGCCAGCCCAACTCTACTGAGAGAAGAGCAGGGGGAAGTACAGTGAAAAGGGTAAAGAGTGTGGTGGCCCTGAGAGGATCCACAGGGACATCAGGCTGGCCAGGGGCCACTGCGAGGCGTCTGTCCTCATGGGGGGCAAGCCTGCTCTTACCCCGAAGCAGTGTCTGTGTCTGCGCTGGCGCCCGCACCCATGCCCGGGAGGAGCACAACAGGGACCTGACCTGAGGCGGGGCACAAGGCAACCAGAGCTCAGCAGGTCCAACCTGACCAGATCAGAGGCCCCCACCCACCCCAGGAGAGCCCCATCTGCCCCCTCACCTGCAGACCAATGGGCGCCCAGCTTGGGGCTCACTCCGTGCACCCATAAGGATGGGGCTTTTATGCCTCTGCTGTGGGACTGTCCCACCAGCCAAGTGTCCACACAGGGGCAGCATGTTGGGACTTCATAAAAACCAAACCACTGGGGATCCCTCTAACAGTTCTGCTAAGATATCTCAGAACACAGTGTCCCACACCTGGAATCCAAACACTCAGAACACTGAGGCAGGAGGATCGCCCCAAGTTCAAGGCCAGCCTGGAGTACATAGTGAGACCCTGCCTCCAAATAAAACAGCAAAAATGAAACAAAACAGTCCTGCTGAGGCATGAAGTGACACATGCTACTGGGGAGTGTTTAAAGCTCACAACTGACAATGCTATGAGCAACAATGCAGGTCCACAGGCAACTTACTGATGGCCACCACTCAACTCCGGCCCCGCCCCGCTCCCAGGGCCTGCTCCCCAGCAGCAGCCAGCTGGCACCCCCAGAACAGGAAGTGAGCTGGACCAAGGCGCTGGTACCCTGTCAGCAGGCTTCTCGGTCTGTGATCTTCTGAGCTGCGCCCCAGTTGGCGAGCACACAGCTAATGCAGTCCTCTCCATTACTGGTAGTGTTTCCTCCTCTGTATTGCCACCCTCCTTCCACTATGCAGAGGAAACCCGAGAGCGGGCTCAGGAGGAACTATTCAACAGGGAGGCCAGGAGCTCTGCAGGCCACCTTTGCCCAGGCACCTTCATAGTAGGAAGCAGGGGCCCAGGAAAGGCTGAGCTGCTCAGCACAACTGTCTCTGCACTCTTTTCTTTGGCACTGGCAATGGAACTCAGGGCCTTGTGCTGGCCAGGCAGGCAGGTGCTGCTGAGCTACAGCCTGGGGCCTCCCCAGGTCTCCAGGCACTCTGTGAACCCCTGAGGGCTGACGGGAATCCCCTTCTCTGTGCTGCATCCTCCCACCAGGTAAAATCCGCCATGTGAAAGCAGACCTGGTGTTGGGACAGGCTGGCACTGGAGAGCTGTGTGGTCCTCTTAAAGGCTCAGATGCAGAGGTGGCCCAAGCCCTTAGACACCACCTAATACACATGTTAACGCAGCCACTTGGACACCTGTGTGCACAGCTCTTAACCACAGGCAAACGGCAGGCAGCCCCAGGGGCTATCAACAGGCTAATGAACAAAATGTGGTCCATCTTCAGGATAGAAGATTACTCCACCATGAAAAGGATGCAGCACACCTACCCATGCCACCATGTGAACGAACTCTAAAAACATTCTATCGAGTGAGAGAAGCCGAATGGGGGTTGGGGGCTCAGTTCGCTGGTAGGACAATCGCCTAGCACAGCACACACGCACCCTGAGGACACACACTAAAGCTGGGTATACACCACCATTCAACACAGCCTTTCAACAGGAATGTCCAGAAGAGACAAATCCATACACTGAAAACTAAACAGCAGTGGTTTCCTAGGGCTGAGGAAGGGCTATAAGGTGCAAAGTTTCCCTCTGGAAAGTTCTGCTGTGCTGCCTAAGGAGCTCAGGAAAGTTATTTAAAAAAAAAAAAAAAAGTTATTTTTAAAAAAAAAAAAAAAAAAAAAAGGCAGAGCAGCAGCTGAGCCTTGCTGGTGGTCACACAGCCACCCTAAGAACGAACCAGCAACACTTCTCTGGTGCCACCAGCAGGCACAGAGGACAAGCACCTCTTTCCCCTTTCAGGCTGTATTCACCCACTATGCGCCCTCACACCAGGTCCTCCTCTTGTGACACAAGGGATGGCTGAGTCCCCTAGATGTGAATCTAGGGTTAAGCCACAGGTGGGTAGGCACCCAGGACTAGCTGCAAGTTCTGGAGGACTCCCCCTCTGGCACACTGTGTTCCCCAGCTCAGCGTTAGGGATGGGAAAGCCAATGGGTTATCTTTCCTTCAAGAGAAAGGGACCCTGCCCCTGTTAACTGCCAACAGAACACAGCAGAAGGCAAAGCCGTCCAGGTGGTGTCCAGGTCGGGCGTTTCCTGTGCGCCGCAGGTAAAAGGGTACCCAGTGAAAGCTGCATGCTTGCTCCCCTCATCCTGCACTGCAGCCTAAAGCCTTCAGGCGCATCTGCTTGGGGAGCCAGATTTCCTCACACTTAGAGGGCACAAAAAGGTAACTGCCACCCCCAGATTTTAAAGAGGAGCAGAGTGGTCTTTGCACTGGCACTGGGAATGGAACCACAAGAAACCACAGCTCTCTGCAGCTGCCCCCAATCTCTGGGCGAACTCCTCTTCGCCCATCTCCAGTAGCCCAACACAAGTGAAACTGAAAAAGGAAAACTCGTAGTGGTGCACCCGATGCCCCAACTCGGCAGATTATCTTAGGGAACCTGGAGTTAAGAGTGAGTGAAGTGTCTTCTTCTTCCAAGAGGGGCTAAAGGAGAACCCAAGGGGGTGTTCAACCCACAGGAGTGACTCAACCACCTAGTAAGCAAGCCCCCGCCCTGCTGGGACAGAGCTAGAGCTCACTTGCTGAGGATGGGTGGTTCCCCTAAACCCAGAGCACCAGGAGACACTGCAACTCCTCTCCACTGGAAATTCAAAAAAACTTTGCCAGGCACCCAGCGAGCTGTGCGCCAGTGTGAGGGCAAGCAGAACCGAAGGACGAGGCCACACTCCCCCAGCAGCCCATCTAGGCCTCAATCAGCAACCCCCTCCCTCCCAGCCCAAGCAGAATTTCAGGCCCAAGAAGTGCGCTGGGAAATTCTCACAGCCCGAATCCCGATTTGAAATACCTCAGCAGCCTTCGCTTGACAGCCTCCTTATTCCAGATAAAAGTTTCCAGCGTGGCACACTCATTTTCACGTCGCTGCCCCGCTGGAGGGCCAAACTAAAACTCAACTTTACACGACGGGAAAGTTACGTAACAAGTCGGTTTCAACAACAGGCAATCAACACAGGGAGGCAAAACAAAACGAAAGCTGCCTCGGAATAATCTTGAGAGCCGGCGAGCGCCTGGACCTCCCCCTAAGGGAGGCAAAGATCTCCTCTCTGCCGCCAGAGCCTAGCAGCACTCTGTGTACCAGGGTCCCCGCGCCAAGGGGATGGAACCTTGAGCGCCTCCAGTGCCTCAAAGCAGGTTCGGGGACGCGCGGAGACTGCGATCGCAGAGAGGAAGGCAGGTGACCCGGCCCGGCCCGGCCTGGACGGAGGGGTGACCCGGCTGGAGCAGCCCGGCGCCAACAGCAGACCTTCGGGGACGTGGACAGGTCACCCCGGCCGGGCCGGAGAACAGCCAGGCAGGTCGACGCGCACACACCCGGAAGGGGCCAGGTCAGATCACCTGAAACCAGGGACTGGGACAGATCGCTGGAGCAGGCGAAAGGGCCCCTCGAGTCAGTCCGGTCCGGCGGGAGAGGGGGCGCCGGAGAGGCGGCCGGGGTCCGAGCTGCGGGCCGGGCCGGGAAAGGCGGGACCAGCGCGGCTTCCGGCGCCGCCATGTGCGCTCACCTGTGCGTCGAGCTGTCCGGCAGCGCCGCCCGCGCCCGCGCCGCCCGGGACCCCAGCGCCACCACCGCCAGGGCCGCCGGGGCCGCCGGGGGGCGTCTGTGTCTGGCTGGGGAGGGTGAAGTCGGTGAACTCGAACTCCGAGCCCTGAGTGTCGGCGCCGAGCAGCTCGGCCTCCTCGGTGTCCAGGAAAGTGAGCGTCTGCGAACTGGGTCCGTACGCCTCCACGCTCATGGTGCCCCTGCCAGGGGCCCTGGGGCCGGCTCCGCGCCGCAATCGAGCCCGCCGCCGCGCCGAGGCCTAGGCCGCAGGCCTCGCGTTGCCGCCGCCGCCCCCGCGCGCCCGCTTCCAACCGAACCGCTCGCCCTGACGCGAGCTAGGCCGACAGCCACGAGCGCCGAGCCGCCGCCGCCGCCTTCGTCAACCCCCTCAGCGCCGCCGTTCCCCTCCGAGCTGCCCGCTGCTCGCAGCCCCCGGCAGGAACCGACGCCGACGCCGACGTGCGCGTGCGCGGGCCCGACGCCAGCGCAGGTGCGCGTGCGCGAGGCCGACGCCGGCGCAAACGCGCGCGCTCCTCTCGGGCGCCACCAACCGCGCTCCGAAGCCCGCAGCTGAGCGAGACTCTGGAGTGCGCAGTGCGCATGCGCAGAGGGGCGGGGCTTCCAACTGCCGCGGAGGCGACAGCTAGAGAACCCGGCCGCGCCCCAGCCGCGCCTCAGTGACGCGGGGGCAGCGGGCGCCGGAGGACATGGATGGGTCCCGCACGGGGAGCCACCGCGTTCGCCGGTCGGGGAGGGCTGGCCAAACGCCCTCCATCGGCGGACTAGGGACGCCCAGATGCAGAGGTCGCGCGGGGACGGTATGCGCCCATTCCTCGGGAATTCAGTCTCTCCATCTGTGAGCTGGGGTTGTTGGCGCGTAGCAGAAACTCACGGTGCATCGGTCCAATAAATGAGCGGGGACACTCTTAGTGGGGAGCCTGATACTCCGCGATGGCGGTGCCACCATTCCTCAGGTCCCCGAGGCTGGTATTTCAGCTCTGCCCCTGGTGATGATTACTCAGAAGCAGAGTCTCCTGGGTGAAACCCTGACCTGCCTCCTCGATGACCTTGTTTGGAGCAGGTAGTAAGACATCAGATGGCCTGAGGGACAAGGGGAATCCAAACAGCATGCCAATTATAGTTAAGGAAATCGAGGCCTGGGTGAGCGGTGCATTTATAACCATCTGTGAGGTCTAAGACGAAAGTCCCTGCAGAGCGCGGTGAAATGTTAATGTCAGACAGTGCACCGAATGGTCAGCGGGGACGCCAGGGCCACGCTGCGGCACACCTGGCTGCTCTGGCCCGTGGCCCAGGAATGCAAAACGAGCCCGGCACCCATGATCAGCCAAAGCTTGATCCAGAGTCGGTTAAGTACCCTGGGACAGGAGTGTACTTCAGGGACTCCACGGACCACCTGGAAAACAGAAGGAAGGCCTGGGATGTGAAAGACCTTGCAGAGAGAGGGAGGGTGAGTATGATCACCATGGAAACAGGGCAGTGACAATCACTGTCATTCCTCAAGCCTAGAATGACTGCCCCATATGGAAAAGGACAGGATCTCACTATACAGTTCAGGCTGGCCTTGAGCTCACGTTGTAGCCCAGGCTGGTCTCGAATTCACATTGATCCTCCTGCCTCAGCCTCCCGAGTGCTGGGATGACAGGTGTGCGCCACCACACCTAGCTTAGTTTTTGTTTTTTTTGTTTGTTTGTCTTTTTGTTTGTTCCACCTTAGTTTTTGCCCATCCTTTCCCTCAGGGCTTTTCACTTGTTTTTTTCTTTGCAATAAACCCTGCTTTGCTTTCACGACACTCTTTGTGTCCTCGCTGAATTGTTTCATCAGGAGCACAGGGCCCAAGAAATCCACTAACTCGTACACAAGTGACTTTACTCCATTGGGCCTGCAGTTTCCTTGGCAGAACCTGGAAATGGTCGTTAAGAAGGGATGAGAATCAAATGAGCTGCTAATCAGCCCTTTAATTAGTAGGCATCTAAAGCTTTCCTGAGGTCAAGGGTTATCCTTCACCATGGCCTTCCACATCAGAGACCAGGGCCGCATGCAGTAGTTCCTCAATAAAAGTGTGTAGGAACTTTCAACTCAGTGACATCTGCTGTGTGTGAGACTGAATCTCGAGGCTTTAGTTTCCTACTTTCATAAAGTAGTTCATGGCTTTCCCCCACCTTCCTTTCTATCCAAGATTCTGGGACTCTCTGGACACCTGAAGTCAGCCCTTAGGACTACCGGCTTTCAGCACCAAGGGGACAGTTCCTCACCGTGACATGGTCCCTAGTCCAGCTTCCTGCTTATGACAGGAAGATGGGATCTGTCTTTCTTGGCTGTCTCGGGTTCTGCTGTGCACTGGGGAAATAACAGAACATAAGCAAACTTAAGTCCCTCCCCCAGAAAGGCACAGTTTAAGTGGGAATCCCAGAAAACCCACAGACAGTTTTAATACAGTGCAAAGTCCTCTTAGAAGGAAAACATCTGATGGAAATAGCACAATTATTTAAGATCCATCTGGTGGTGATACCCGCTCAGGTGGGGGGTGGTAACTGGGGACTGAGCCCAAGGCCTTCACACTGATCTACATCCCCAGCCCTTTGTTATTTTGGTACAGGACCTTGATAAGTCATTGAAATGTCTGGGCTGGGCTAGAACTTGTAATTCTCCTGCCTCAGCCTCCCAGCATGCTGAGATTGCAGGTGGGTATGTGCCACCAGGCCTGGATCGATCAGAGTTTTAACTACGCATGCACCTCCCTCAATATGACCCATCAACTGCACATCTAAGAATCTTCATTTATTTCCTATAAACACATTTGCAAAATGATAGTGTGATGATACATTAGAATATGTCTATTTCTGGGATCTAAGTCTTTATCGGAAAAAAAAAAACAATATGTCTATTTCATGCCAAAGAAGTCAATAAAAAAATTAAATGAGCAACTTGTAAGACATAGACAAATGGCATAAATAAATACTCCTTAGTAGTTACATTAAATGAAACTGGATTAAACTCTGCTTAAAAGGTAAAGGTGTGGGGCTGGGGATTTAGCTCAGTGGCATTAAGCACCGCCTTGCAAGCAGGCAGTCGTGAGTTCAATCCCTGGTACAGATAAAAAAGTTAAAAAAAAAAAGAGCAAAAAGGTAAAGTTGTCATAATGGATTTAAATGCAAAATAGTCCAACTATTTGCTTTAAATGAGGCTGAGGCAGGAAGATCATTGTGAGTTTGAGACCAGCCTGGGTTACAAAGTGAGCTCAAGACCAGCTCAAACTACATAGTGATACTCTGTCTCAAAAAGGCAAAAAAACCCAAAGAGGCCTAAAGTAAAAGAATAGAAAAAACATACTTTCTGTAAACAGTGACAAGAAAGTGGAGCTGGGCATGGTGGCTCACACCTGTAATCCCAGCACTCAGGAGGCTGAGACAGGAGAATGGTTGTGAGTTTGAGACCAACCTGAGCTACCAAGTGAGCTCAAGACCAGCCTGAACTACATAGTGAGACCCTGTCTCCAAAAAGAAAAAAAAAGTGTGATTGACCATATTAGTATCAGACAAAAGAGATTTCAATGTGTTTTAAATCTAAAATGTCTCCAAAAACGTCTCACATGTTCAGGGATGGGCTTTTGGAAGGCAGCTGGTAGTTGGGGATGCTCTGCTCACCAGTGGATGAATCTATCCATGGGTTCATAGCTGAATGTGCTGTTCAGAAGTAAGGGGGCAGAGGGAGAGGCACATGGCTGGGGATGTGAGGTTGGAGGGTACAGCTCACTCTCTGGGCCCTCCCTTCACTTTGTGCTTCCCAGCTACCATGAAGTAAGCAGCTGTCCTCCACCAGGCCATTTCTGCCTTTGGAACCAGGCAAGCATGGACCAAACCCTTTCAAACTATGAGGCAAAATAAATCTCTCCTTTTTTTTTTTTTTTTTTTTTTTGTCTTTTTGAGACAGGGTCTCACTGTGCCATTCAGGATGGCCTTGGGCTCACTTTGTAGCCCAGGCTGGTTTCAAACCTGCAATGATCAGCCTGCCTCAGCCTCCTGAGAGCTGGGATTACAGGAGTGCACCACCACACTCAGCAAATAAATCTCTTTTAAGTGGACTGTCAGGTTGGGATTTTTTTGTCCCAGTGAAAGGAAAATGACTAACACAAAAATACTGGTAGCCAACAAGTAGACTCATCACTGTGACTACATATGACCATGTAGCTCAGAAGCCTTGGAAACTTTTTCAGGAAGAGTCTGGAAAGATTTGAAGAAAGAGGAGCCAGGGATATAGATCAATGGTATAGCCTGCCTGGCAAGTGCAAGGTCCTGAGTTTGATTTTTGGAACACCCTCTCTTAAAAAAAAAAAAAAGATTTGAAGAAAGAGGCTAGAGAAAGCCTTGAATGCTGTAATCAGAGCCTGGTGGGTGATTCTGGACAGAGGTCATCCCAGAGAAGTGCTAAAAATGTGGATAGAGAGCCCGCCGTGGTGGCTCATGCCTGTAATCCTAGGACTCGGAAGGCTGAGGAGGAGGATTGTTGGGAGTTCGAGACCAGCCTAGGCTACAAAGAGCTCAAGGCCAGCCTGAACTGCATAGTGAGACCCTGTCTCAAAAGGCCAAAGATTAAAAAAAAAAAAAAAATGTGGACAGGAAAGGCCAGGCTCGGGAGGTTTCAAATGAGAACTAAGACTGTATTGTAACATGAGTTAGGTAGGGCCCAGGAGTGTTTGATTCAGGCAAAGAAATTGTCCTCTTTTGTTCATGCCCTAAACTATAAGGCTGAATTTTAAAATGATGGAGTGATTAATATGGTGGGAGAAAGTTCAAGGTAGCTCAACGTTCAGCATGGCACTGGTTCTGCTGGCTACTTTCAGCCAGATTTGCAATGAGAATCTGGAGCAAAAAAGCAGAGCTGAAAGGAAAGTGCCTGTCGAGTTGGGGGACATGGGAATGTGGTTGCTGAACAGATGAGCACCATGAAGAAAGAAGGGAAGTGTTTTGTATCAGTGCAATAGGAGGGCATCTCAGGAATTGGCCAGATCCCACTCACCACAGGCTCAAGGGCATAAAAGGGGAAACTCCTTTTTAAAGGCTTTGCTTTATGAAGAGAGTCTCAGGGCATCCTCCTCACTCAGGCCTGCCTCGGGAAATGAACCCCCAAGGTTAGCTTTCCACATACTTGGAGCCCTCTGCAGCCATGACGCAATGGGACCAGTCTGCTGCTCAACTGGTGCCAGACCTTGAGGTCATCCAGGTGGTGCTGGTTCTGGGGCGTGCAGAATGCAGAAGTTATGGGTCATCTCGTGGAGGCTTCCACCCTAATTTCAGAAGCCTCACTGTGGCTGTGTCGTGACAAGGTCACTGTCCACATCAGGAGCCCAAGAGAAGGCAATGTGTGACGCTGTGAGAGTGAAGCCGAAGGTGCAGTAGAGACTGCAGGAAGCT